CATTTGTATATGGCAGTTGCTTAAAGAAGAAATGTAATTATTAGAATAACTTATCTGTGTCCTATGTTGAATGTATTTCTTTGCTTGCAAATTATCACCACTTACGATTTTGCAAGTTTTGAAGTTTACTGTCCTGTCTCGTTTCCCGAGGTTGTAGTTATAGCATACACACACCGTGCTTTTTCGAATCCCCTCTTTCTACTACCTCAAAAAAGCGCCGTTGATTTGAATAAAACCAATACTAGTCTATTGTGAATCTAAGTTCTTCGTTATGATAAGCTTATATGCAGTTAGATTTGACTAATCATAGCTATTAGCTTCAACAGCTTACTTAGCTTCTTGCAGAAACGATAGAAGTATGAGCACGACATTGCTTAATTTGATTTTCTTCATTATATCCGACTGAATTAATTTCATTTTTACTAATTTCCCGGTATTTTGTGACGAATTATTTCCTTTTTATTATAAAATTCTTGCAAAATTATTAATTAACTTTTTATTTTGGTCTACAGATTTTTGATTTATTTGATCAAATTCAAATTTTGTTTCCTGAATTCCTGATCTCCGAAAAACTTCTTATTTATTTAACTCCAGAAAAATTATTTTTTTAAGATCAATCAAAAGTTCACTTAAAAAGTTAGATACATGGGAGAGATTTGTGAGAAACATTGGTGCCAAGACCTTAACGAAATGTGTAATCAGTGACGCATTGGACGTTTTGTGTTTAGACAGCTGCAACTGCATTTCTCGTTTGAAATCTGTACTGTTTCCATGAATGTATATCTAGCATACCTTGCCTTTATTTCTATATGTTTCACATGTTCTTGTTTTTTATTCTACTATTCCAAGATCCTCAATATTTTTTATTTAGAAAGTTCCAATCAAGACTTCAAGCATTCTCGTTTCTAATCATCAACATTACGAACTGTGACACTTCGTGATATGCACGGTATTTCTTGGCTTTTGTGATTCGTCTCACAAATGATCGATAATTTTGACAGTTATTGTTATTATGGTTGTTATTGTTGTTTTTATTGTTACTATGACTTATATTGCCATTGTTGCCAGCAAGAGGGAAGATCACATCATATAGCTAGCTTTATTTAGCTTTTTAAAAGAATAGTCCTTTTGATCCTGGCTAGTTAAATATAATTAGTAATCAGTTTAGTTAGAGTGTAAGTTCATGTTTTTACAGAAACCCTTAAACTGGCACAAGTAAGTTTTAAAGGAATATTGATTATATCAGATCTTTCTAATTGTTCTTTTCTGTGTTTCATCCTTCCACCGAATTATTTCTTCACCTCATAGTTCTAGCAATGATAGATTTATTGATTCTTTTGGATTGTTGGTGAATAGTAAATTTTTGTTATCTGTTATATAATATTTTCATAATTTATGTGGAAAATAATTAGCGACTCAGATGCGTTTTAGCTACCTTTTAAGATTTAAGGTAGGCCTTATAACCCCATCTTAAAGAGCTTCGAAAGTACTCGTTGCTTTTCGGAAATTTCTTTTGATTAATTTATGTGTGTGTACATACACTGGCGAAAAAACATTTCGATCATTTCTTCTAAATTTTTTTGATTAATTTTTGAGATAAATATCGTTTGCTTGAAGATCTACATTAATAATGGGCAAACACAAAGGTACTATTGGGAAATATAGGCTAAAATTACATAGCAAAAACTTAACTGGGGATTATTCGAGAATTAACTACATTGATTATCTATAGTAGTGTTCAAAGGATTTTTAGGAAAATAAATAGAAATTCAAGTCAACTCATTCATTACCAAAAAATATTTTATATTTTAGGAATAAATTGTAAAACGTGAAAGAAGCAATGAGCGAATCCTTGTCGCTCTTATTCAATGGTATTTCCCGCTACGTAGTTTTTGTGAGAAAAAAGACCGATTATTGATATCGTTTTTTTTGCTGGAAATGACATTTTGACATTTCTGAAAGTTTTTATCACATCGCCGAAACGTTGCGAATAAAAGCTTTGAAATTAATGTAGAAATATACTTTCTATCCATTAATTATCAATGCGGGGAATAAAATCATTTAGCTATCATAAACATAACTACCAGAATTGCGGGTAAGCAAACAGAATAGCGAGGAAGATGGTTGGGAAACTGCTTTTTGTCTCAGCTACCCAGTTTAAAATTAAAGTATCTCAAAGATCGGTAGACCCGCGACTACTAATGTAATACTTTTATCACCTGTTTCCTACAGGTACTGTCTTGTCTCATCTTGCACAATTGTTTTCCTCATTTCCCTTTACTTCAGTTACCCCAGAATTCGAAAGCACTGGTTCAAAATCACTATTTTCTGTTTTACTTAGGCTGATTTACCTTTAAATTTATTTCCTATAGAACAGACTTTTTTCGAAGACTAAAACTTTCCTTGTTTTCATTGGATAGTTTTAAACCTAATCTACTATCATTTGCTTAAAATAGAAGAGGCAAATAATATTGAACGAAATAGAACTCAAGAATTCATTTATTTGGGGACTTGCAACGGAGAGATAAGAAAGGCATAAATAGAAAAGCATAAATAGACGTTAACAGGACAAAAGAGACAAAAGAAAATAAAATAAACCAATAACTAAAACAAATAAATTTTTTAAACATTTTACTTATTAATAAAATTCAAAAATTTTCTGGAAACTAGCTGAAACTACCATTCTGCATTTCGGCAGATATTCTGCAAGATATGCTATTAATGTTAAATTACTAAGCAATGATTTCAGTGGTAGCGACCAGTTTAGAAGAATAACTATACAGAACTTTTTCCTCACTGACTTTAGAATATCTCACACGAAACCCTATTTTTTCTTTGGATAAATACGAAAGAGATTTAAAAAGACACTGGTAAATTTGTAAAAACCAGTAAGAGAATGAAAAAACCATAGGCCTGCAAGATGCATTTTAGAGAGATAGAGTGAGGAATCTGTGACATGAAAATAATTCATTCTGTGGACTACATTATTCTACCCAGGGCGTCTTTGACCTGCTGATTTCCTGATTTTTCCATAAGTCGATAGTTCAGTGGAAAATTGAGGAAGCAGTTCATCTGCGTTCAAGTTAAAAAAGTTTCGGAATTTGCAGGTCAGAAAAGAATGAAAATATTTGGAATGACTTTCGATAACAACAATAGTAATAGATATGGACAGTGAACTTATTAATTCAAGAATTAAAAAAGCGCAGGTTTTGTATTCATTGAGCAGTATCATTGAACCACTTCGTCTGCGTACTAATTCCTTGCTGAGAAAAAAGTTATGATTATACTCTGAATGTATTTTTTGCAATCCTTACTGAGGATTTTTTAGCACTTAGATCTTTATTTATGTTAAAAACATGAAATTGTCATGGTCATTTGTTTAAAAAAAGCTGGAAATCTCTGTTCCACTTCATCTCTTATCTGCCATTATCTCTCTACATTTGCAAGGAAACTTTAGGCTTAAAAATGCACCTTCTGAGGCAGTGACTGAATCTACTTGTTCTTCGGAGGCAGTATCTTGATAGGACCAATTGTTTATTTCATCATATTCCAAAACGGACGATCTCCTGAACACATGAAAGTTTTACATTCCATAAAAATATCAGATAGAATGGATTATTTAAAACAATCTCTGTGAGTTAGTAGTAACAGAGAATTTAACATTTAAAAGTGAAATCACTAATTCAGTAAAACTTACTTAGGAATTACTGGGGAAAAAGAAATATAATCCCTTTAAAATTCAAGTTAGTGACTTTTTGCAATGACTTCAGTCATTGATCAGACCGATGTTTTCCAACTAATCTTAAAGCATGACTCTCACTAATGCTATCACATCGTTTATTGATGATCATTTTTTTCTGATCGATCAAATTGTTCAGTACGCCGTAAACTACAATTAGTCGACACAAATAAACAACTTTTTTTAAAAAAAAAACAGATCTAAACTGGGTGCAGCATTATGCCTTCTAATGTAACTCCTTCGTAAACAAATTCGCCTAGAATAGCAAATACGTGGAGAGATCACTCTTAACATAAAATATTTGAAAAATTCAATGAAGAGCACACCTATCCCCACATTTCTACTTCCACTTTTTATAAGAAATTTACAGAATACAGAATTAAGCGGATCCGAAAATTTCCCTGATTTTGCAACATTCTACACAGTGATGTAACAGTACCACATTTTTTTTTTTATGTAACCTGTAAGCAGTTATATAATCTTTGTGACTTATAGAACCAACTTCCTTCAACAGAAAAAATGCAGTTTTCGCAACCTTATATTCAAACCTCAGTATATATATATATATAATACTCAAAGTTCAGTATCATTATATACAAAGCGCGTTGTTATAAATGTACCACTACTACTGGCTGTAATGTGCCACAAAAATGTGTGAAAATTGTAGGATTGTGAAATCCTGAACTGGAAATTTATTGTTTCACACGGAACTACACTATAGTAAGCAAAAAATGCCAATTTTATATTTTATTAAAAATTATCCTAGATATTCCGACTGGAGTTATGCTGCAGTAAGAAATATGACTTCGAAACATTAGAGCGATATGCACATATCGAAATGAAAACCCAAAAATTACGTAGAATACCTTAGCTATAGAGTTCTACATATCTAATATCTCTTCCGATGAATTGAATTAAGCACAGAAGGGCATTTCAATTGGATGTCAGTTCCGGTTCACAAAATGTGTGATGAGTTGGAAAGCTTGAAAAATCCAGAATCCAGTAAATATTACATCATTTTATTTCATTAAAGGGCATATTGAATTGCTGTGAGAATAAAGGGCAAGCAAAAAAAATCTATTGGTGAGCAATGATATTTTATGAAAAGATCCTACAAATATAGTAATACATCTCAATTAATATAATAACCTCTAATCTTTTTATGCATTTGAAAAAAAGAAAAAAAAAACACATGGAAAGAACAGCGTTACATAAGGATCTAGCAACAGAAAAAATTAAAATTTTGCCGAAAGAAAAAGGATTACCAATGTAACTCGCAGTATATGTCACGACTCTGCTTTTTGAAATGTTCATGGAAATATATTATTTCTCTAGGAGTCGGCGCAAAAGTCATCCGGATCCTGAAAATTCTCTTCCCAGCATTTCTTTTTCTATGTGGAAATACGAAAAGTACGCATACTCCGGGAAATTACTTGATTTAAGACAGATAAATTTTATAAATAAAATTTGTTATCGCGATTAAACTAGAATAATGTATTTCTGTACAATTTCCTCCCGTACATATTGTTTATTTTTTTTTTTTTAAACTACCTACTCCATTTCCAGAAATTAATCAGAATTAAAAAAAAAATTAAGTTCAGACTGCTAAGAAATCTAGACCTACACTTTGATGATAAAATCGGTAAATAACGTTGTTAAAGGAATGAAAATGAATGCCAGCCAGAAAGATGATGAGCTCAACATTATGGTTGCCATACCAGACATATACTCACCAACTGGTAAAATTGGCCAAACCTATAATTCATTTTTTTAAGAAATCTAAGAAGTAAAGATTCGTGATTTTCAAAAATTATAGATTACGTTTTATAAAAAAGATAATCATTTACCAAATCAATAAGTGAATAAGCTATGATGCAATAAATTATAAAATAAAGTAAGTACCATGGAATAAAACGGAAGAAAAATAAACCACAATAAAATCGAGCCGAAACATGAAAATAATATAACAATTGTCCAAGAATCACATTCTAACAGAGCTTTAAGGCAAACTGTTGTTACCACGAACTGAAAAGTTGTGGATAATGCAAATTTTAAAAGCACTTCACATTATATTCATTCAAATATAACTGTAAGCCGGGAAACCAGATTAACTGACTAATTGCGTTACATGTTTTTTTCATTCTGCTGATTAATAAAACTTTTTATTACCGTTTTTTGTTTTATAAATTGATATCCCAATTCAGTTAAAGAAATAAAGTTAGACGAACCGTATAGCATGAATTTCCAAGCATCAACCAGCCTCCAACTCTACCATTTTCCCACACAACAGGATCATATAGAAAAGCAAAAGATAAAAAAAAAAGAAGTAACGAATGCCAAACTGCTAAACCGATCCATACTGCAAATTGCTAAAATAAATGCAGCAAGTTATACATTTAAAATGAAAAGAAAACCAACAAAAAATAGAAAAGTTATCAATCAACTTCGCTAAATATTTGCAAGGTAGTGACATTCTTCTCATAATAAATTTTGGAATGTGCGATATGATAAACAAAGTTTTTAATTAAGTATAACTCACAGTAATAGTGAATGCTCGTTTCTGAAAACTCTCATATAAGCCAGGATAGGAAAGTATTATTCGGTCAGGAAGTGGTTTGTCAAATAATCCAATCATTACGGGCGGTAATGCAGTAAATAATACATTAAAAAGAGCAATAGTCCAACGTTCAAATATTGTTTGACCAGAGAATGCAGAATGGATTGCAAACCACAATTCGATTAAATACAAACATATATTCTTATAGAAGCTATATAATATCACCTGAAGCTATCAAATCTAATTTCAAAAAATTTGTAAGAGAAATTGAAATAATGAGTAATGAGATCGAAAAACGAAATAATAAAGTAACCTTCACTCCTCGTTCATAATTCCAAACACCATGAACCAGTAAAAGTCTGCGTAAGAAATGAAATTGTGCAATAGAGTAATCACTAGCAGATGCTGCTTGTAGACCTTCTTCACCGATTATTCCCACGCCAACATTCGCTGCCTGAACTTTTCAAAGTTACTGGCAAAAAATCTAGAAAACATTCTTTGTATATTGCATTCTATCTTGCGCCCAAAAATTTATGGGCGTTATTGCTACTGTTTGTTCATCTTATTTATCTCTAAGAAAGAAATAAACGATCAAAAATACTTGTATCATGGCAACATCATTAGAACCATCACCAACTGCTAAAACCACATCATCAGTGGCTTCGCGGACCATCTCGACAACTTCTGCTTTTTGCATGGGGGTCATCCGGCAACAAACGACAGTGGGACAAATCATTGCCAAGTTAACAAAGATTTTCCTACATTTCGATTCAACTACATATTTTAGTGTCTGAAATTTGAAATCCATTCTCCCCGAAGTTTTTATTCTAAATTTAGTTATGTTTCATTTTCCCTATCAATATTATTATGTTAATTCTATGCAACCTAACTATCAGTGAAAGAAATGCAAATATTCTCAACACCTTATTCTTCCATACTTATCACATTTATTTAAAAGTGACATGAAATCAAATTAACAAAATGAAAAAAAGAAATATAAAATTAATCCATCCATTTTGCTACATTCTGCAAAACATAAATATAAGCAATAAAAAGAAAAAATCTCCAATATATATCTGCTCATCATCATTACTTCCAAATTCAACAAACTTTTGACAAAGCAAAGTTGTGAATAATAATAATAGCAGCAGTGACGACTGTCGTTGTGTGAATATGGCTGGTGTTAATGAATGAAATGTATAGATAAGAATGATTTTGAACATACCGCAAAATCAAAAAATTGAACTTACAGAACCATCGATAACCAATGAGTACCGAACGGTAGATGACTGAACGCTACTATTGCAATCATAAAGTTTTTTAAAAACTTCATCGGATGAACTGCCATCAATAAACCAATATTTCATATCCGAGTGAACAAGACCCGCTGAACGAGCTATATTGATGGCTGTCTCACGCTTATCTCCAGTTAGCATCCAAACACGTATCTGTGCAGCCAGTAACGCCGTAATTGTTTCTGGTACATACTAGAAACCATTAATTAGTATTCAATTTATAAAATTTCAATGCTCAAATTTATCTAATCATTCTACATTGTATTTCCAAAGGCAATTTCTGAATAGAAATATTTCATTATCTTAACCAGAAAAACGAAATTTGTTCAATGTTTGCTTTTATCCATACTCAACCAGCCATAATTAATCAATTAGATTTTGCCATAGTGGCATAACGTGCGACGGAATGTGCGCTGGACCGGCTGATCCCACTCACTCCGCTTCTAATAATTGCAAATATTGTGAATTGGAATATTTCACTACATTAAATTACTGTTTATCTAATACAGTGGGTTATTCAAATTCACATATAATAATGAAATCCTTAACTCTGTTGTAGTAATCCTCACTGCTAAAAAATGAGAATTATAGCACTTCTCTCATATGTGCATCAACATCACAGCAATTTGATATGTGCAAAAAATACCTGTTGTAATTTATCTTCAACTGCAGATGCACCCACTAAAGTAAGATTCACTTCAATCTTCTCAGCACATTCTGCCAATTTTTCTTTTCGTTTGTCCATCGAAATTAAAGCTTCCGCAAATTCTTCTGCCCACTTACTATATTCCTCTACTTCCAATGTACGCATTGCAAAACAGAGAGTTCGATAACCCTTTAATATTTCATTTTAAAAGTTAAAAAAGTATTTTGAAACTAAGTGTCGTAAAAATGAAAGCTTTGAGATAAGAAACTTTAATAAAAATTTTCTTTTTTTTTCTTTGAAAGCAATAACAGACTTTCGACGCGTAGTCCAGAAGATGGACGGAACAATCGTCAACAACTGGCGAATCCTTACGTAATCTTTGGAAAATCATAGAATCCTGGAAAAATATCCATTTCATGAAGTTTATTTGTCACGATCGATACAGCTAGATTTCCAGCGATGATCAAAAATGTAGATCAAGTGCATACGATAACAATGATAGCGCCACGAAAAATCAAAAATCTTAAGATCTAAGCAAATGTGCCGCACAAATTTCGTTGTAAAGTGACATTCTCAAAGATGAGAAATCAAAAATGAGACTCAAAAAGCCTATAGGAATGAAAATAATATATTTCGTATAAATTTCTCACCGCGCCTTTGACATACAATTTTAAAACACCGTCAGGACATTGTACAACAATACCCATTCGTTTTCTTTCACTGGTAAACTCCAACACATTTAAGACGTTGTAATTTTTGACTTCTCCTAACTGAAAATAGAGCAAGCAAACTCAAATGAAGTACGAAAATTTGAAAGACGCATTAAAAATTAATCTGCATTTACATTTATCGAATTGCAATTATTACAGGAAAAACCAATAAAAATTGGACATCTCACAATTAAAAACTACCTCTGAGACGAGAATACTCCGCGGCTTCCTAGTATGAAACACAAATCCAAGAGCAGCAGCAGCACGAACAAGTGCACCTTCATCCGGTGAAGAAGCTTGATACAGTAATGTACCACTTTCGTCCCTTTCTGGAACAACCGTGTGACAAATTGCCATCATCCGAAGAAATTCTTTGACAGAGCTAGCTTTTTCCTAAACAGCAGTTATAAGAGTTAAGAATACAAATACAAAATATTCAAAAAAAACAGAATTTCAGATTTTTTTTTTTCATTATGAATAAACAAATAATAATGATAATGAAACCTTTCTCCAGCAAGACAACAAAAAAAAAATTCGTATTTGTTTGTTTATTTGTTTATTCACAATAAAAAAAAAAAACTCTAAAAATCTTTTTTTTATATTCATTTTATAGATTAAATATGGTAATTGAGAGATTGGTATAACAAATATAATAATTGAGATAATCAATATGTTATTTAATTAAGCCACCAGTTGCTCAGTTCCTTGCTCCATTAATTCAGAATATGGGAAACTAGCTCACAGTTTGATAATTATTATTATTAGAACTAGTAATACAAAAAGAGCTTGAAAAGCAAAAATTAACATCAGAAGTCCTGATAAGCTCCGATAAATTACGGTCTTGAAAATCATCTGCTTCATCGTTTCCAAAATTAATACCCGCAACTGAGCATCTTTTAAATTTCATAATATTGCGAGTAAGTGTGCCAGTTTTATCACTCATTATAAATTTTACCTTAAACAAAATACTGAACATCACTGAAAATGAATTAATAAGAAAATTAATGAAAACAATTACAATAAAATTTGACACTTCCGGCTTAAAAAAGCTTTAGATGAGAATTCATATTAAAATCCATCTTGATCCTCAAATTAAAACATCAATGTTCAATTAAGAAGAAAATTAGTTGAATTTTAACATGTACTAGGAATGATTTTTAAGAAACCAATATTATTCGCATGCTCTAATCTTTTTTACTTCCAGCTTGTAAGCAATCAATTCTTCTCTTTCAGGTAATTCGATTACGATGTTATAAATTTATACTTTACTGATGATAGTTGACTGAAGAAAAGCATAAAATGAAAGATAAGGTTATATATTTCATAAAGTTGTGTTCCCCGCTACGAAATATGAAAAAAAGAACATAATTTGAAATATGAAAAAAGGGGCATTTACCTGCCCCAACTCTTCATTTAAATTAGATGTTCTCGCAACAGCACAACTATCTGTCTTTTCATCGTACATTGAAATATCCTAAAATATAGTACACAAAAGTGTAGTCTCATTTCTAAATGCAAACCATTATTTTTTAATTTCGTTTTTCTTACGATCAAAAAGTGACCGAAAGAAAGCTGAATTCAGTAGTAAGGAGAATGAAGAAGACTTGAGTTCTCATATAATTTCTAAACATTACTTAAAAAACCAAGTCTCTCTGTGATCAAAGAAGTCAAGATAAGCTACATACGATATTTTGCAATTTGAAAATAAGATAAAATGAAATGAACGAAATAAAGCTAACTTACATTATTTATGTATACTGCTTGGAAAAATCGTACCAATTCAAGGGTTACTTGCAGTGAGATCGGAATTAAATTATTATATAGAATGAAAAACGTCAACATATTCCAAAAAAAGTTGAAAGTCCCCTTCCCTGGAAATGTTAAAAGATAAAATGCATATAAAATATAAATTAGAAAAAAAAAAAAGCAACGTTATTCATAAATGCAAATACATATATATTATTAAAGCATTCCATCAGACGAAAATAGGAAAATAACATGGAAAGATTTTGAACTCGACTTTCAACAACTTGACTTTTTTATATTAAATTAGAATACAAAGGTTTACTGATGACAACTGAATGAAGTCAGAATATAAAGTGAAAAGATAAGGTTATATATTTATAAAGTAATTTCCTAGCAAACGTAAAACTATTCAGTTTTGTTATTTAACACAATATGCAATATGAAAAAATATAGAAAAAAGCACTTACCTATTCCAACTCTTCATTTAAATTAGATGTTAAATTAGATTTAAAGATGTTAGGAAAAACTAAACAAACCTTGAGGACTAAGGTAATAAGAATGCATTAGCCGTTTATGATCGAAGAAATACGCTCCAGTAGCACTTATAAAAGCGAGGACAATTAACGCAAAAAAAAGGAACAAAATACGCTGATTGGTGATAGCATCAATTTTGGATCTGAAACATCAGTAGAATACAAATTCATGAAATCCTAAAATTACATAACAATATATGGCGTGTAAATCTATTAATAAAACTGAAATGCAGTAAAACTTAAGAATAAAAGTAGCAGAGTGTCTCAAAGTAAATATTACTGTTTCAACGGAGCTACTTTTGAATTCATTAATAGCTTGGCATCGTGTCCTGCATAAAGCACTACACCACAAATCCAGTGTGTATGCTTTAAACGAGCACCACGTAATAACAGTTGAGGAATACCTGTAAAATTGCAGCATACGAATCGTGATTTCCTTGCACAATTATTCGAGCACATCATACCTTATTAAATTCATTTTTAACCAAAAAAAAAAAAAAATCAACAACCTATTGACAATATTCCCAAACAGTTTATTCAACAAATGACCAGATAAAAATAGGTGCTGGAGACAACTGGACATCCCAAAAAAATATTCATAATTGCAACCGCCAAACAGCACGAATATGTGTGTCATGCTTCATTATTGATTAATTACAAATTTTCGAAGAGAAATTTGCAGAAAGATAATACCGCAATTTTTTGAAAACGTTACAAACGTACTGAGAGGCCGCCGCAAATCATGCATATGTAACGTCCCAGTAAATTCATTTACATTTTCATTTGGATGTTCACATTCGATCTCACACTGAAAATCTCTAATTGTTGCTGTAACTGTCAGATTTGATGTACATTCAAGTCCTTGTCGAATTTTCAAATTCGTTTCCCCGTCCAAATTTGAAGTTTCGATATAAGCTACAGCTAGCGGTTCGCTAGATGATAACAATGCCATATCCGCTGGGAACATCTGATTATTTTCCACTCGTACAATATCGCCCACTTTCAACTGAAGTTTACAAATTCAAGCCTTTAAAAAACCATTTCATGACACTCTCAAGAGTTAAATTTAAAGTTTGATCTTCAAAGACATAATTTCAACAGTTTATTCGAACCATTTAGTCATCTAATTTAGTATGGAACTCAGATATGGCATGAATTAAGGTCAGAATAAGAATATGAATGCAATCTTATGAAAACATAAATTATAAACAGTTCCAGCGTTATATCGTAGAAGAGCTACAAAAACGGAAAAGCTTATAAAAAAGAAAAAATGATCGGACTTTCTGAGAATGGTAAAACTGCTTCATGAACTATTTCAAATATTATTTTATAGTTTCAGATGTAAAAATTGGTTTTAAAAAATTATAAGATCTGTAATTTTGCAATTTCTTATCTATTCAACTTTTTATTTCATCTATTTTATATAAATAATTTTTATTTCATCTATTATATAATAAAACCTACATCTTTCCAAGAAGTATACTTCCACTCACAGTCTCTGAAAACTATAGCACGGTAATTATTAACCGTTTGATCAGATTTCCTTCGCTTCTATAAAAGAATTGAACTAGAAAATTCTGAATCCATAATATTTTGCGATACTTTATATAATCTCGCACTTTACTTTCTGCAGAACATACAAAGCTTACGATGTCCTCAAATATTTCTTTAATAGCCGACACAGTTAAAATGATAATTAGGGGTCCCGCAGTTGTGATGCGACCTGTTGGACTAACATCAGGAATTTGCTGAAAAAAATATACTGAAACAAAAAATGCAGTAAAATAAATTTATCCAAATTTGAAATATATTATCAGAAATATTTAAATCCAGTATAATTACATCCAATCAAGTAAAATTAAAAAGATGTGTCAGCAATAATTTTTTTGTGAGTTATAGAAATTTAACATATTAGTATTAATACAATTCTAGAAATAGACCAACTTGGAGAAGCGCAATAATGAGGAAGAATACATTGCTGTACCGTCTGAATTGTTCTTTCAGAAAGCGTGGGAAAAAAGAAAATGCATTATATTTAGCAGTGCTGAAAATGATAGCAAAAAATACCTAGAATTTATTTTTAATAATCTGTTATTATGGATTCGAATTATGTCCTTTAAAAATATCCACCACACCGCCATTATATAATAGCATGGTGCATCCTTTTGTGCTGTCTATAGTTTTCTAGCTTTGAAAGCTTAAAAAAGACATAAAATAGGCATTTCCCAGATAGTTGTTGAGTAATAAATCTGTTGTGTCATACCTGATAGCATTAGACCGATATTTCTCAGGCTGTGAAGTTTGATTGACATAAATAATTCGAGAAGTCGAAATACGTGAGGGACGTTGTTTAATTCTGCAGTCAGAAAAAGGCATCATAAAAAATGAAGTGGAATTGAGTTTAATCCATTACCGAGAAATCATTCATAGCAATTCATCACAAGGCCAGATCTAAAAATTAAAAAAAAGTTAATATTGATCATAAGTTGTAATACTGTGACTTGCATTAGAAAAAAAAATTTTGCGAGGATTTGGAAGAAACTGAAGAATCCGAAACTAAAGCATGTCACTCCAAAATTAGAAAATCACACTTAAAACATGGTAAGTTAGTCGATATCACGTAGAATATGTCATGTCACTTATCATTATATGTCCATCCCAAAAAATATCCCAAACATTAAGTAATGCATTGATTACTTCTGTAATTCTTCAATTCTGAACCTGAATAACGCTGTGACAAAGAATATAAAAAGATTTATCAAGAAAGTAGAGAACACCTCATTAGCGCTTTTCATTACAGTCACGTCATGATTTCAACGAAAATAGTACTGATAATAACACAAGACTACTCACATAATTCTTTCCTCTTCTTTCATGTCCATGATCAAATAGAATGATTTCACAAAACGACAAATTCAATTACAAATCTGTTTCATGATAATCGATACAACTAACTAATTAATGGCGTGGATTACTAATAAGCAAATGTCGAAACTTAAGACACTGAATTCTACCATTCAAGTTTCCAAAACTTTTCTTTTTCTTCTTCCATTATAAACAACATGGACATCAATTCTTAAGCATTTTAATGATAATTTTTAGATGTTGTCGTTGTATTTTACACTTTTCCAGAATAGAAATTCGGAGTAAACCAACTCGTGATATTGCCAATAGAAAAAAGGTCAGGTCACCGTAACGAAACGCACTGTTGACTTTTGCAGTCACTAAGAACTGATTTCAATTTTCTTTTTGGATTTTGAATTTCGAGAAATTTGGGAGTCAAAAGTAAAGGAGACATTATGCAAATGTTAGATGGAGATGGCATGCTCACGAACTTAATAACAACCATCATCATATCATTCTAAAACAGCTATATTCTAAAGGATTTCTTTCCAGTTTAGCTTACATTTTCAAACTTTTCTTTAATTATATGAATAATACATCATCAGTGTATGTGACGGATGTAACTGAAAATGGTGGCTGTGACAAAAGTCACTTTTAACTTTCCCAACCAATGCCATTTCTTCTTTTCACGGAATAAACAAAACAAACATCAAGCATCAAAGTATGAGAAGTTGACAGATGACAAAGAATTCTCATCACCAACTAACCCAAGCAATCATCCAACCACCAGTACTCGTGTCCTCCAGCACCTCACACAACACAACCCTCCTCTCATCTTCCTCATCGACATATACTGCACTTTCATCCCTTCCTTTTGCATTCTGTCTCCTAACTTTTCAGCTGTCGTGGATTACTCTCTCTCTATGCTTAAAAGTCTATCCTACTACCCTTCAAATTTCGACCTACATTGTATTCAATTCCGCAGTCGTTGTTTCATGAATTTCATGAATGTCGAGTTATCCAGTAGAGATATGATTAATCGGAATACTTTTCCATTTAGGATACAAAAAAAGATAGTACGGGTTTGGCTGAGATCATAGCTAACAATGCTAAGTTGAAGTTCGTTGAAATTTGATGGAGAAGGTCAGTGTTGTTGCGACCATATTTATTTCCAGAAGCATGGATTGCATAATTGGAATGAGTTTGTATGGATAGTGGATCGGCAAGAGTGGACAACGTGTGGTTGGAATGCACAAGAAGGGTGTAAGGTGTACATGCGGATGGCACACGACGGGAGTAGACTTATTATCCGGTCATTCCGAGCCACCCACGTTCTTGCTTTTCTTTTTGTCTTTAGCCTTCTTTACTTTGTTGTCGAGAGTGGGTTTCTGGCTTGGATTGTACAAAATGCGTTAAGTATTTCAGGGGTAAGTCCAGATTTACATTTCTGTCCTCCTTGTGAAGAACCACTTTAGATCATCCTGTTTGCTTATACAATAAAAATAAGTCAATCTAATATGGAATTTGCTGTAGGCTCTTAATTGAGCATGCATTAGAAAAAAATCCTAATGCAAAAATACCGGATCCTATAAAAAAAATGTAAGTACAACTTTCTCACCGTAGATTTTCAGAAAGCTGCAACCCTTGCTTTAGTTAGTTCTCTTGGTCACGTTACGTCAGGTTGGCTTATTTGTAGCTATAATTCTGGATGTAATATGCAGCTTCTGGAATAAACCCAGCATGTTTTGAATGAGTTTGGATTGTTTGGTGATGCATCAAAAATTTTTTGGACCTATTGTTGATTCCATTTCTCAGCGTATTGATAAACATTTGATTTCCCGATAATAACCGATCCTTTTATAGAGTATAATCTTTTGCTCGTTTTTTGCCTTTTAATTCAAACATTACTTAATATGCATTTAATTTACTGTTTGCAGCAAGACATCGAGGAACAGATGTTAGACAAGTACAAGCTAACAGCACATAGACATATCCAGTGGTTAGCAGACAGTACTGGACGAAATACAAATGCGGTAAATGATAGCTTTGTCAACAGTGAAGGAAGGGCTTGCCGTAATACAATACAAGGAAGGACTTCTGTTACTGATGACAGAGGTAATTTGAATTCACGTAAGGTAGGGCCAAGTTTATTTAGTTTATTTTGTACACTTCATAAATTTTAGTGCTTAAGCTTCCAATTGTTTTCAGCAGCTAAACAAGATATACAGAGGTTGAGGTATTCACGTCTTTTTTTTGAATGGAAAATTGACTTCCAATTTCTGTATACTATAGTTATATGTTTTAATGTTATATGTTTTCTGTCATCTCATCATGGCTTAATTTGATATTTATTACTCCACAGAGTAGTAGAAACAGATTTGATTTGTTAACAAAGTTGTTAGTCTTTTATTGATTCAGACTCCTCATGATTATCATTTGGGAGAATTTTTTTTTTCTTACATTTCAGGTTATACATGTGAAAGAGCTTTCCTGATGTCGAATGGTTGCTGTGAAGTAGGTACTCAATCGGTACGTTTTAGCTGTGTTTGGTGTGATCTTTATACTGGTTGTTGCTCTCACTACGAACAGTGCGTTTCTTGTTGTTTGAAACCGGAGCAGGTACATTTTTGATGCAGTTAAAATTAAAATTAAAGATACAATGTTTGTTTGGTGCTGAACGTGTTATTTTCATCACAAACGTATATATCTTGCTATCCAAACATCTAAAAATCTGCAAAGCCAATATTTGTAGAAAAATATACTGCTAAAAATGATAGAGTCAACATCTGGGCATCGATTACGTCAAATACTTTCGGCGACGGACCAGTTCGAGCTTTGCATGTTGAAATGTCGCACTTCTTCAAATGTAAGGGCACACGAAATTTGAGGTTTTGAATTCCGCTATTAGATTTGTCCAGATACTTCATTTCCTTTTCTGGAGTTTTATGGAGGCATATCACTTAAGTAGGAATGGATATCATTGTAGGGTACTAAATACTTTTTTACGAAATTTTCCCCCATAAAATATCGAATATTGCATAGGAAGCGAGTGGGAATGATAAAACAGTTTTTTATGACAAAGTAAATATATTTCTTTGCAGAGTGTACATTCGGAAAACAAATACAAAAGCGAAAAGATGAAATACTGTTACAAGCAGGAACCGAATCGTCCTTTTTCACGATAAGAAGGCATAGTCAAGATTACTCTACGGGAAGAAGATTTAGGTAACTTTGCAGTATCGGGTTAATATTCTGAAGTTGGTTTTACGTCTTTCTTTTTGTGTATTGATTTCAAATTGGTTGCATTCTTCAATTATGAGCTTTGTGATGAAATTGTTGTAATCAGCAGTGGTACTACTACTTCATTCTGAGTGTAATATATGCTTTATTAAAGCAGTTTGTTTCTCTATATGAAGCGTAGTATTAAGGAACTTTAAATTATGCAAGGAATTTTATTTTTTTTGAATATGTTGGATACAAGCAACGTTTGTAAAATGCATGTTTCTAAGATTTAGCACACGAGTCTTATTTATTTAAATAAGCATTATTTAAGAAGAATATAAATTCATACATGTCTTTCAATACTCTAGTTGTAGGCCTTTATTTTCGTCGTTGCTTTGTGTCATGTGAATTTTGTCAGCTTCAGTTGCTAATTTTCTCATATTCTTGTTTATCTGTGTAAAAGGAAAAAAAAAAACCGGAATTTAGAATTTAAATCCTTTGAAGAACTGAAATAAACGTCTTCGAGTTTAGCGAATTGTTAGCATTAATCTCGGTATATATTTATAAACAGCATTATCTTTGTTAAGTGTTCTTCATGGTGTGGTTATTTTGGATGAAAAGAAAAAAATTATTGCTTATGTTTTGCACTTATTCCGCTCTGTTAAGGCAGTTTGTTTCTCAAATACAAGCGCACGTGCGTCATATCATTCTTTTCAATAATGAATTTATTTTTATAAGCACATATTTTGTGCAGCAAATTTTTTCTCAAAACATTCGGTTTATTCCTAAGCATTCTTCTGAAACATCATCTTTTCGTAATATGGGAATGCAGAGAAAAGTATGTATTGTTTTTTGGAATAATGAAAGGTTTTGTTTTTTTTTGTGAACTTCTGATGGAAGCGTATGTAGCTGATGCATAATCAGTTATAATTGCAGTGACATAATGAATTCATCTTGTCGCCATGGGACGGTCTTATCAAATAAGAATAAACTGCATTTACTACTTGCATTAGAGCGCGAAGCTGAAAGAACAAGGTATATAATTTAGCTGTTTAAGAGTGATTCTTTCTATGGTTGCCTTGGTTAATGTAGACTTCTCCAACATATTTGAGATTATGTCAAACTGCAGTGATTGTCTGTATTAAATTAATGGTTAAATTAACAATTTGAAGATTAAATTGTGAGTCCAGAATTGAGGCAGTAATTGTTTTATTATACAGGTGGGGTATTTATTACATAAGAAGAGGTTTTCACTTCTGCGACCTGTATTGGTCGTTAGACATAATGTTGTTTACTTTACATAAAACTATTTTGATTTTTTTAGTCTTAATTATTGAAAAATAAAATTAGTTAATCTTAAAGAGGCATAGAAGCTGAAGCAATGCAGTAATCATTTATAGGCTTTCTCAGTCATGGCGGCAAGTTATAATTTGGGTTTTGCCAACGATCTGTTTCCTTTTTGATGTGAGTTGTTTTGAATGTAACTGATTACGAGTCGGGATTTTTCTAGCAAATTCCGTTTCTATCAAAATCCATTCCGATTTCATTCTAGAATTAGTTTTTCAAACTCTCTGGTTTTGCTTTTGGTTTTAACTACATTCCTTTACTTTTAAATAAAGTAAGCGTATGCATATATAATTTTTTTAGATTTTCGCTTTAAATTGTGCCACTTGCACCAGTTTGATTTCTTTCTTACTGCGATATGATAAAGCTTATTCAACGACATATGTGGTCGAGATCACAGCGCTCTTCATTTGCTTGTTGAATTTATCGGTATGTTTTTTCGAAGCAGCGAAATATTCGTACCGTGTCACAAGGGGATTGCCATCGGAATTTACACCGCAGCAAGTTTCTGCACGAAAAATCACTGATCAAAGTGAGGCTTTAACATTTTGGAAGCAAATTTCTTGGCCTTAAGAATCTTTGCAGAAATATTTGTGTAATATTGAGAAAAAACTTGATAAAATATTCATAGGGAAAGACTTGATTTCGCGGTTGTAATTTTTCCATGAGTGTGCTGTCAGTCTAATATTTTGAGTATTGGGAGTGATAATCTTCGTTGAATAAGTGTTTTAACTTTCGTTTTCCAGATGGTTGCAACATTTCTTTATCTCAACCAAATAGAAATTTTATTGCACAGTGGCTTTCGGCTTTACATTTTGGCAACTGGTCAGCACAAGTTCCGAAAAATCCATTTTCATCAAATTACATAAGGCATAATTTGACTAGCTCTCCAATTGGATCATCGTTTAATAGGTTAGTTAATTTGAGAAAATTTTCATCAATTCTAAAAATACATGATTTAATTGAATTAAATCCGTAATCTCTGCTTTCTCTTGGCAGTGAGATCTGATAATCCAAATGCCCATTTGAAACAAATTCTGTACCGTTTTGTATTTCCTCGAAAAAATCCCAAATATGCTAGAATTTACACTACATCATGCTGTCAGAAATTTTTTTGGTTATATTGGTCATATTGGTAATTATAATTTTCTTCAATAACTTCGGAAGAAGTTTTTAGTCGCAAGTCAGGAAGTGCATTTGGCGACAGCGCCTTGTTCATGCATTCAACACCATTGATTGATCACCATTCTTCATATGTAGAAAGACATCCAGGCCATTCTGTACCACTGTCTGCGAAAATTGGTTCAAGAACATCCCTTCGTAGTCGTCCGACATCTTCAATTCAAACAAATAAACAGTTGGAAGAATATCTTCGAAAAAGGTTAAAAACATTGAATCTCCAAATAAAATCACTTCTGAAATGTGGTTTCTACTTGGAGTGATCATTACCCAGCATATTAATAATATACCTTGTCTTTAACGCTGTGAATATTTTGTAGAGAAAAATTTAAAGTCGTTCTGACAATAATACATTTTGTCGAGAGTTTCTTTATTACTCTCCTGAGCACAAAAATGTGAGATAGACCAACTTTCATGCTTTCATAATGAGGAAATTTAAAAATTAAGTATTTGATTTGTTAAACTTTGAAGGACAGAAATTTAACGCAGCTATGAATGTGCAAGGTAAAGCAACCTTGCTTTTCTTTATTTGGGAATGTAAAGCTTATGATGAAAGTCGAGTGAATAGCAAATTTCATATAAACTAAGAAAAAATAAATAAACTTCAAAGTTTTTCAGTACTGGAAACAATGAATTACCCAAAAATGTCACAACATCTTTTTCAACATCGTTTGGTTCATTCTCATCTTCCAAATCCGAGCGTATCATTGGTTTTTCTAAGCCATTTCGTTTGTCATCTTCCAAAAATAACAGTTATGAAGTTGGAACTGCTATGTATGATGATGAACAAGGGAGAGTGACGGGCGATGAAAATAGTGTTGTTTCTTTAGTGACAGGTGTTATTTGATTATGCAGTATGTAATGTAATATCAGTTTTAATCTTGAAGACTGATACGTTCGCTTAGAATGGAAAGTTCAAATTTTTGGAAACTTTAAATTTTGATAATTAAAGTGTTCGTCAAATTATGTCAAACGCGTAAATTTGTCTTAATATGCTTTTATTATTAGTGTACTTTTGATGTAGTCAAACAAATGAAAAATGTCATGATATTCTTGTGGCATCCATACTGTTGATGGCGATGGGGAAGAATCAATATTTGTGAAGCATAATGTGCATATATGAATACATATATGTATGCAGGCAGTCGTATAATGGTAACTGACAAACGCATATCATTATCGCCAATTCCACTGAATTTGATTGAAGTCGACGATGAATTAGCCGCTGGAGATGGCAAAGGTATAGCGAGTGATGGAACAGATGTTGCGCGTAATGTTAACAACGATAGCATTACATTTCGTGTGAATCATAACGCTGCAAAGCGATCGTCAAAAGGAGGGCAAGGTTTTTATTTTTTTTATTTTTTGGTATTCAATTTGACTTTGGTATTTAAAAAAATACATGTATATCATAAGAAATAAAATGAAATATTAATCTGTTTCTTTTGGCAAATGAGTATAGATTGAAATGGAGTACTCATTTCAGGAGATAGAGTTTTCAAAATTCAGTTTTTGTTTCAAAAATATAGCACTGTTTTTGTATCGAAAACTTGCATTATATCTTTGTAAATGCACATACTTTGTTTGAATTTTTACCTGAAAAGTTTTTGATACCTAACGGAAGTTTGCAGGATTTACTCCGCCGTTGCTTCGTCGATCAGAAAATGAACGTCGTCGTCATTCTAGTTTGTCTCCACATTCACATTCTGGGAACCAATTTTCAAGTGTTGTGCAGTTAAACGGAATTGAAAGCAATCCTATTGGCAAACAGATACCGATTACTTCTTCGGAAATATTGAATCAGTAAAAATTTTTGCTGCTCTACATTCTTTTGTTTTTTCTTATAGCTGGAAAAAGTTTTGGAAGATTAATAAAAGTCTTAAAACTGCTCAGGTTTTATATTGCAGATATAGAATGGACGCTGAAGGCTTCGCTGTCGCTGAACGTAATTTACGATCCTGGATTTGTCAAACAATTCTACGCCCACTCCTTGTGAAGATTGATGAAATTAATGCTGTCTTTACAAAGGCATGTTTTTCGAATTGTCAAAAATTTTTTTCAAATGATTGGTGGTACAAAATTAAGTGAATTTAGTGTAGAATAACCAGTAATTATCCGTCAATGAATTACTTTTTTTGGGATTATATAAATAGTAACCAATAAATAGGTGCAAACCTACTGTTGATCTCAAATTGAGTTTTATAATCTTAAAGACATCACGCATCCAATAAAAACTAAGTCTACACTAAGTGTCAGTGGTAACTAACACAGATATAAACCAAAAATTTCAGTCCCATGCACATTTGCACTTGAAAATCGGTCACTCATCTGTAGAGGCACTTCAAACTGCTGCTTCATCGAAGAGTGATTTACTGAAGTCAGCTCTTCCATATATTTTACCGTATCTCAAAATACACGAAAAACAATCTTATTTGATTAAAAGGTGTCGGGAATTGTGTGCTGATGTCTGTATGAAAAATTACAACTGGCAAGGCGGGGGATATGAACTTGTTGAAAGGAAAGAAGAAGGTTGTTATTTTAATTTTTCCATCTGGGTTACATTTTTTGTTTTGAGTCTGAAAATTTTATTGATATTTAAACTAATTTATTTATGGCATCTGAAAACTAATTATGATTTTGAGAAACTTCTTGATTAATTGAGGAATGTCATTTTTTTTTGTTTTAGGTGAACAAGATTATTCGCCAACAGAACGTGTATGGGGCCCTCATTTACCAACAGATGCTCAGCTTATTTGGTCGTGGTTCTCAATTTACATGGATGCACGGTAAATCAAGTCTTAATTCCTATCTGTGCATTTTATGATTACTACTAAAGTTAAGTGCTAAATCATGGTTTTATTTAAAAGCATAAATGAATGCTTTTCATGAAAAAGTAATATAATAAGTTCACTTGAAGTCCAAAAAGAATGGGAACAAATCTTTTTACAGGATGGGAACAAATCCTTTGATAAGTGATATTGAAATGCCATTTTCGTCAGTTTTCTATCTGAAGAAACCCGCAAAGCCATCACCACTGCAGTGTATGAAAAAATCTTTCTATATTTATCAGGTATTTTTTGTAAATTAAGTCCGTTGGTACAACAATTAGGCTTTGAAACATTCATTAGATTTACCAAAGTTTTCAGAGCAGCATTCATCCTCCTCACTTTGCATTAGTATTGGATGGTGGCCGTGAACGTTTCGAAGTTGATCGCGGCACAAGAAATCTTTGGCGAACAATTTTACTTTTCATACAACATATTCGGTTGTTTAACGAAGGACAGCTTGGTAGTATAAAAATTGATGAAAATGGCATTAATCTTGCTTGCGTTCTGGAGTAGATGCTATTAAAATTGATAATGACAGGAACCTTTTAAGTTTGAAATGGAAATCGTAGCGTTTTGATAATGCACAATATACACCATACCAATATGCCTTGTTATAGTAACAATGGTGTTATTTTTGAAGCAAAATTATTAGCGTCGGTTATGCTTAGTTTATGAAATTGCAGTTATATTATTGAATCTTTATTTAAATAATACGCTTTAAAATGAAAAATACCAGTAAACAAAGTAGCCAGGGAAAAAATATTTTTCCGGTATTATCTATTCCTTTTTTGGAGGAAAAAGCGGTTACTCTCTCTTTTGTTAGCATGTGGTTTATATGTGTTAAGGATTAACATTACAACGGATCTTCATTTTGATATACAACAGATGCTTGTAATATAAGGATTTTAACAAAATCATGTCAAAAAATTAGCTTGAGAATTTAGTGAAATGATTCATGGCGTTTATAAGATGTGCTTACAATTTGAATCATTTTTTTCCATAAATTTATTTAGAGTTTCGTAGTTTTAAAATTTGTGTCTCCCACTTGCTTGTCAAATTTGCTAGGCTTTCCAAAAGTAGAAAATTAGATTTTCTTCCTTTTTCTCCTTACTTTCCAAAATTATCCTTCTTCTTTGATACTTTTCGACTGATGATTTAAATTTCCAGTGACTGGATAGTTTATCATACATATTTACACCATGTAGATTTCAGATTTCCTAAAAATTTAGTTGATTTGCTCAGTCGTTTTAAATTGCTTCGTCTTTCTTTCTGAACAGATCAGAGCACAAGAACCATAACATTTTAACACACATTACTTAGTTCGTTTTTCTCATGAATGTTGCGATCTCTATTTATTCGTCAGTATATTTCGTTGCAATGTTGCCTCATTTGAATCAGCAGGTTATGGAGAATCAAGAGATTTCAGTCTTTTGGAAAAGCATTCAAATCCTTCTATACTATATTGTTACCGTTTTTCTGGAAAATAAATTTTCAATTTGGAAATTTTTTCTAGCATTCGAAATCCCAACAACCATTAATAAAATTCCCACAATAGAAGGATTGTTGTATTCCCAACTGTGATGTTTCCATAGATTTTTTGTTATGGACTTGTCAGATCTATTTTAATTTGTGTTTAAAATTAGATTTCACATGATTAGAAAACTTTCCACAAATGCTTCACTTTACATTTACATTGTCTTTTCGTTAATGGAGCGAAACTGTGTTGTATCTCGGACTGCAATGATGTTATATCTCAGTACTGCAATGATTTAAACAAAATGTATAGATGGGATGTTTGTAAAGAAAAAATTGTAGTTGTAAATAAATATATTGGGAGATGTTGGTAGAAATTATTTAATAAAAATAAGGAAAAAGCGGAAACTGAGATCACGGAGAAAGGAGGTACAAGCAGGAAGAATTCATATCACGGACATGAATATACAGAAGTGTCACCATAATTACTTTTGGTACTACTAGAGAGTGGTCTTTTGAGACCGAGTTTCTACCGCTAGAACAACCATTACTACTAGAGTTTGTAATAGGGCGAAGATCACTATGACTATCACTAATACCAATGGTTCCTTCGATGCCTGTTACTAGTTCTACAACTGTGCCATATGTAGTCCCGTGCTAGCCCCGCACCGGATCAAATCATTATTTCTGTTAGTCTTATCATCATTAGTTTGTCATTACATTATAGTTCATAAAATGATCACCATCACCACTACTTTTGCTTTAACTACAGATATCACTTCACTTAACAGTCGCTAGAGATGTTTCCTTTTCGATGGTTCAATTTGATAAGATAATTCCATCATACGCCGCTGATTGTCGATCACTTTGAAATTCCTACAAAAAATATCGAAAAAGTGTGGTCGATGAACAAAGTGTAATCGATAAAAAATTGATTTTTGAAAAGATTGGAAAGTCTCGAACAATTCGCAAGATCTTCTTATACATTCTAAAAAATTCTAAGAGAATGTCAGTGAGTAATAATTCCGTAGCATACACAATAAGATGAACCACTATCTCAATAATGAAAAAAAAAAAAAAAACCTACCTAACAAGGTTTTTTGACTTGAAAACCTTCCGTTCGTAAGTAATAACTAAAAAAAAGTGGTTCAAATTATTATGTTGTACTAGACATAGTGAGAACAATGACAAATATTAGCAGCACTGATAGATGTCCTAAGTACTAAAACACAGTGAGAATGATGCGACGAATACCATGCAGGTATTATTCGGCAACATGATTCATACTATCCCAAAATCTTTCCTGGTAAATTAGAAACAATAGTTATAACAGTAGTTATATATATATATATATACCTGGATATTTGCATTGTCTAAAGCCTCGCAAAATGTTAGCAATCATATGCTGCAATCACATCAAATATTTGAAATAATTCCTTCAGGATTAATCTCGAGATAAAGTTGAATCAAAGGAGACATAAGCAATGAAAAAATCACTTTTTAAAAAAAATTCTTCATGCTATTCTATTGATCAAATAATGAAATGAACGGCAAAGGAAATGATACTTTGATATTGACTAGTATTAAATATAATTTGGGATGCAATTCGAAAAGTGTGAAAAATGAGATGAAAAGAGCTTGAAAGCTAGTTTGATGCCCGATTTCACAAGATTCATGGAAGCGGCTGCAAACAACCCCTTTATCAAAATGCTTAAATCCTGCATATGAAACACGCAATGATTACTTCTGATAAAAAGAAGAGTCACAAATGTTGATAATAGAGAAGAATACATGCTGTGAATGTGGTGCTTACCATTTTCTCGAAATTAATTAAACCAGCGAAATAGGTCTTATTGCCTTCGTGTGTAAATGTTAAATCTTTAAGGAGCAGTGGGATAAATGGCACCGTCGGTGCACTCATGTTGGCTGTAAGCATCCGATAAGCACGATGATTACGGCACGGATCAAGCAGTTCTTCGAATTCCGCGTACTGTTGTTTCAATTTAGATGGAAGTTTCTGAAATCAGTAAAGTATCACATCCAAAATTTGATGGAGCACTGCCGCTATCCAATGTGCCTTTTTCATCTCTTATTTAAGACTTGAATCTTAGATGTATTTAAGGTTAAAGCACTTTCAATATTTCGAACCTTTACGATAACCGTAAAAAAAACACGATAAAAGAAAAAGTTCTTTTGATAAACTCACATCCCAAAGATGACTGATTCGACTAACAGCGATATTACTGAGACCTAGGATAATCGCAAACAATGATAACAAGTCCTTGTTTTCTTTTGCGCTGCAGATTCATATACTTATTTTTTGCCGTTTAAAATAAACTTCAATTAGGTAATGAAATTAAAGTCTGCACTAAACGAAAAAAAATGAAAAATTTATGTTTCCAAAAAAATCTATCAATCTAAAATCTATCAACCGAAACATTTATTATTTTGTTCAAAATTATACAAAACTCACTGTGCAGCAATTTTGATAAATTTTTTGAGAATGGAAAGACGTTTCGTATTGCTCTGAGCAAGCAACACTTCAGTTGTTGTCCAAAATTGTACCTCGTTAAAACGACGCATTAAAAGATCCAAATTTGATGTTATCCGATTGGGAAACTGCTCTCGTCCAAATACCTTAAATAATTCGAGAATTCCGGAAGTTTTTTAAGACTGAGCAAGTCTTTGAAAATTTCCTATTTCCTTCAAACAGTTTAATAGAAAAATGATTCAGGATCAAAACCTGAGTGATAAGTTCGATATCATCAGTTGCTTCTAACAGCTGGGTATGAAATATGAGCAACTGTTGGGCAATATCAGTACTACTTAAATAGTCCAGTAATGAGGTATGGATGCCTTCCGATGGACTATATTGCTGCGGCAGCGGAGCCTGAAGTATCTTTTATGAATCTTTTATTGACACCGAAGAAAATCAACAGCTATTGTGTAATATTATGATTAGAATTTGAATGTTAATGAAGTAAAATTGATAATGAATTGCTAGTTTCAATTAAACTCAATTTAGATTTCTTGTAAAGTAGTCTACCCGAGCACTAGAAGTTACCAAAGTTTCGATTTCGTCGTTGTGAGCGATGTACAAAAGTCCATTCAGTGAAATCATTGTCGGAATACTGATATCATTCGGTGAAAAGACTATTCTTTCTGAAAACAACATCAAAGCGCCATTTGAAAATTTTTCAAACACAAAAAAAGCGCAAATTTTTGGAAAGAAAATCTACTGAAATTTGTGATCATCGCAACCACGTATTTTACTCAAAGTTTCCAGAAAATTGAACTGAGCTTTGAAATGAATTTTAACCATCTATATGAAATGTGAGATCTATTCTATAATATAAACGAGTGATTATTTCTGATTTACATTATTTTCATTTTATGACAATGAATTTCTAAACTTGTATTAAGTAGTGAGAAATAAGATTTCAAGGATTTCTGCACCAAATGCTTTTTCTATCTTTAAAAAAATAATGAAATGTTTTGTATTTGTAATTACAATCGTTGAGAATCCGAATTGCAAGTAGATTTGAATTTTAAAATTCTCAATAACTTGCAAAATATCCATTACCTCCATTGCTTTTCACTTCAACTAAATGCAATTCTTCGCTAGAACCACTGTATCGAATTTTTGTTTTTGCCATTTCACAGATATCAGCAGCAGTTTTATCAAGTCTTATGCTCATTACAAAAGAACTTGTGTCAGATAGGTAAATTACTTGGTTACCTGAAGAGAACAACCAATAAATATACCTTCACTGGACGAAGAATAACAATGTGAAAAATTGCGGAAATATTCAGTGATTAGAGGAACGAAACAAGAAGTGCGATGTAAGCTAGAGTGAATGTGAACAAAGAAACAAGGAAAGATGAATAAAAGTGGCAAAGGGAACCAACAGGTATCAAATGGTAGTACGGGGTTTGGTGCAGGAGCATGGCTGCAATAAATACCACAGTCAAGTACCACTGATGAGTGCCTGTTAATCGTTTGCATAGCATTTTCGCGAAGTTGTCGAATTGTGCACATTGGTTCCAGATTTGACAACATCTCTGGGAATTGTCGACTGTCTTCCAAAACATAACAATACAATTCCTACAACTGACTTTTCGATTTCTTTGCTCGCTATTTTTACTTTCCAGAGATATGTTATCTCAACTATTTGACTTATTTCTTATCACTTATTTCTTCTTTTGTAGATTAGCGTTACCATATACCTCTAAACTATTTACTCACTACAAAAAGAGTAATCAGCTGTTCCATGATTAGAATCCTTTTCTGATAAATTAACTCAGTCACAATGCGTAAAGAAGAACTGAATAATCGACCTCAACGAAACTATTAGATGCAGGATCAAGGAAGAATCGTAAACCAAGAATTTGTACCCATAAATTCAAAAAGGCAACCACACGTCGTTTTGCAACAATTTTATGCTCATAATCATCTATTGGCAGTGTACCATCCACTCCAACCTAAACAAAAAAAAAAAAAAGGGCTAGTGTAAGATTCATAAGTTATAAGATCTGGCAAACTGAATGTATGCCATTATCAATAAATAAATTGAGAAGAAAGCAATGTTGGTAAAATATTCAGCTATGTGACATTTTGCAAATGATTGAAAGCTTAAAAAAAATTCTGAGAAACTTACAGTAGAACCACGCATGTAATAATTTTTAAGATAACTACATAAAATGTTCACAGGCATATGAGTGATATGAGTGAGAATGAAATCCTCCAAAAATGTATCCACTAAGCCATCATCTGTTTGCGCATCAATCCGAGTTTCCAGCAAATATTCTACAGTTTTCTCCGGCATTCCGGCCATCACAGAGTAACTAGAATCTATTTTTAATGGATAGATAATTCTGGATAATCTTTGTAACTTAATAATGTTTTCATTCGTTAATCCTTCAATCGACTTAACTGCTATTTAATGCTTCAGTTTTTTTTTTTTTTTTTTTTTTTAATAGAACTATTTATATGCTTGATTTTTTGTCATCTAAAACCGTATACGATAAAGCAAGTTAATGGTAGAATTAATTAATCAAAAAGACATCTGTGAAACTTTTGAAAACAAAAATGAATGACTGCGAGTCTTTTGCAAAATAGTGGCAGGATTTGCTACGAAAAACAAAAAAGTTCTTTAAAACCAACTGAGTTCAGGTATCAAATGGAAACAAACTGGCCCAACACACGCCGAGATAAATATTTGTGATTAATCAATTTTTCAACATACCAAAAAATATACATTTCAAATTTTGAGAAAAAATGTTTCCCTCAAACTATTAAAAGTTCATAAACGCCTTCTTAAAGTTTCTGTCCTTCAAAAAAAAAGTGAAAAACTGATTCTAAAGCGATTCGTGGTCACTTCAAATTATACCAAAGAAAAATATAAACATAAATAGATCACGACTGAAGTTCCCAAAGATTGTTCAAAATTAGAAATGATAAAATTCGAACTCGATAAGATTGACAAATAGACAAACAAAAATTTAAAACTTAAGTGGTTTAATGCTGCTTGCCTTTTCTCCCCGACTTTACTCAATACTAAATAACGACGAGTGCTAACTGTAAAAAATTTAATGTTTCCGTAATTAGTGAAATTAATAAGAAGCGAACAATTATTTAATAAAAATAAATGCTAAAGTGTTACTAATTCATATAAAGAAAATCATCACCAACCAGCATCTTGGCCTTACATCTGTAGACAGATTTCTGGTAGCATCTATTGCTGTAGCATTAATTGCAACTGCTACAGAACCGTGATAAGTGTCGTTAAACGTTCTGTACTCGATATTCATTTTCTCCAACACGAGCACATCTTGCCCGTGTTCTTTCAAACGCACCGTATTCGCTTCGACATCTCTTAAAATTCTGCAAAAAAAGTTATGTGGAATCTAACTGCTTAATTCTTGAGATAAGAAAGATAAAGGATTATTAGGATAATAAGATTTGATTTACACTTCGTATAGTACAAATATCATGAAAGACAACAGCAACAATATCATTCAAGCTTAGCGCCATTCAGCTTAGCGCCATTCTGTCTTGGATTGAAAAAATCAATTTCATTTTCTCGAGAATACGATGAAGTGCCATTAAGAGCTAATATTAGGATGTGGTCCACTTCTGGCAAAAAAAAGTCCAATCTTTATTCAGAGATGAAGTTGACATTTGACATTCTTTAAATAGAAGAAGACAAGAAACAATTTCTTTGCTCTAACGATCTTTTGGCAAGTAATCTGGCAAGTACGAAAAATTAAAATTCTCTGGAAGCTTCCTATAGCAGGAAAATAATTAGAAAAGCATTAGAAATGTGTGAGCGAGGCAAAATAACTTATCAGTGTGATAACAAATGCACTTTAGTAACAGGTAGAATAACAAATGAGACGCATGTAGAAAGGAGAAAATTTGAGAACAGGATGAATACTAGCAAAATTTTCGCAGTGGAAAAATTTTAAACACTGCCTCTTGATATTACTATGCTTGAGTGAACACTGCTCACTTGTTTCTTCCAGCTTTTCCTATAGAACTATTTCGGGATTTTTTTTTTTCATATGCTAAAATACTGATATTAACAACTGTTAATATCTCTTTATTAAGCTACTATTAATTGACTCATTACTAGTATTAATTCCGATTTTGATTAGTTTCAATATTCAGTGGATGGTACACTGATCAGGAACAGTCCAAATTTATCACAGTGATTCAGAAAACAAAACGGAATCGACAAAACAAATTCACAAAATTTCCACTTACAGTTATCATTTATTGTGAAACAGTCAAAGTATTTTGGATTTCAGTATTCCATTTGTATGCTACACATAGTGTTATAATAAATAACTATGAATAGAAGTCATCGTAAATTATGCATCAATTAATTAATCTAAATGGCTGTCCCTAAACTTTGAAAAGATAAAGTAACAGGCGAAAAACACTTTTAACAACGCCATAAGATCTTTTGCAAGCAGAAAAAGCTACGTACGATGATGGATAGTGACAAAATTTACTTCTTTTTTCTGTGCGGTAATACATTTTTTATTATGGCTTATTTATTAATTGTCAAAAATGATTAATTATTATAAATAACTGGAGCCTGGTAAATATGAGGATAATTGTGACATGATATAAGCAGAAAAGTTACAGGTGGAGAAATTATTGTTAGCTTAACCTAATAATCCTAAAAATCATAAATTTGGAAGAGTCCTGGAAAAAATGGTGTAAAAGAGTTTAGTCAATGCAACACAGTAATAGTTGATTCTTGAAGATCAAAAATAGTATAAAATAAATAAATAAATTAAAAACAACGCCTCAAACGAACTTATTCACAATAGTAATTAATTGAGCAACAAAAAAAAAAAATGAATGGAAGGAAATATAAGGAAAAATTTGTAGAAAATGGACATGAAATATTCACCAATTATAGAAGTAATAAAAGAATACTACGATGATATACTTCCTGGCGATTCCAATGAGCAGCGAAAACGAGTAATTGTTGTAGCACTGGGAGTGCTTTAATTTCATTACAATTGCTTCCTTTCAAATACATAACGAACTGACAACAAAAAAAAAAAAAGAAAAATGTCATCAAACAGAAAAATTATGGAAAAAAAATTTCTTAAATTCAATAAATTTCAAGGTAAAAACCATGAAAAAAATTCAATTGATCAGAAATTTATGCATGAATTTTTATCAATATCCGAAATGTGAAATGAGTGTTGGCTCAAATATAATTTTAATAAATGTTTTTTGGAAAGAATAATTTTATTTGCAGCACCGAAAGAGTTAATGTCCCACAGAAAAGTGACGAAAATAAGCAGAAATAGCTAGAAATATAGCAAAAATGTTTTCTATGTATGAATGTGTTAACATGAAGCGGAGATGGTCATTCAATAAACTATGCTACAACAATGGAAAGTGTTAGCAACTGGGAAAGTGAATTTTTTACTTTTAAATTCAATAAACAACCAAAAAAAAAATATGTTGAAACACAACCAAGAATGCAAGCATTTACTCTTATCGAGTTTTGATTATTTCAAAAATGCAGTGGTCCTGAATCCTAAATTTTTACTAAATCGAATAATTTTTTTAATTTTTTAAAGAATTTTCCTGTAAGAAAGTGGATTTATTGGATTCTGAAATTAAATACGCATCTCTTCACTGATCTAATATAAGCAAAAAAACACATTCCCAAAATTGTTTTCATCTGAATCTTCCTTTAATCGTTTATCTCAAAATTTCAAAGAAAGAATATTGTTCATGAGAAAAACTAAACAGATAACAGGTCACATCTGCGCCAAGACTAAATGCAAACATTCTCCAGACAATTTATTAAACCTTGCCATCTCTCTCATCCTGTCAAATGCGATTAAAATCAGCAAAGAAAGCAATCGATCACAATCATTATAGCAACCCCTGCTCCGCTTTGTCTCCTATCTCCTTCCTCCCTCAAAAGTGCCACAATCAGTTTATTTTTCCGTTTCCAGCATATTTGTATGAATGAGAGAACAGACTTACTGAAAATACGCACAGAATATGATTTTCGAATTTCGCATAAATTAAAATCTTAAAACCAAACAACGTGACCCCTTGCAATCGGCAGGTAGCATACCCTATCTGCATAGATGTAAATTCCTATAACAATGTTTTACTATCAACTTTGAAACTTTTCTTCAAAGAAAATCCTGCTTTTTTGAATGATACTCTTAGAGATGTTTTTCGAAATTGCTTGATGGGTAGTTTTATTCAGATAAGCGAAGCTCTCTGTAATTTTGTAATTAAATTTCGAAAATTTATCATTTATCAAACCTTCAAATCATTTACGAATTATTTACCAAGTGAATTTTATGGAACTCACCGATTGAAATCGCTTTTGTCAACACGTAAAAATTGTGATTTATCTTTCCGAAGCGCTACTGTAGCAGCGCGAGGCGCATCATTTACCAAAGCTAGTTTACCGAAATCGTCACCTTCTCGAAGAGTACAAACGACACCCTAAATCGGGAAAACTTACGGCTCATTATCATTATCATTACCATTATAATTACAATCATCCTTACCATATTAATATTGACGCTACCATCATGATAGCTACTATCAAAAATATTATTAATCATTTAGTATCACCAGTACTTCTATTACAAAATAAACAGGATATCAAGATTTTTCTTCGCAGAAAAAGAAACCAATAAAATATTAGTTGCAAAAGGCATGACAAATTGCTTTGCCATCTCTTGGGACATGCATTAATTTCACAATTCCAGTAGTAAAAGTCTAAAGTCCTGGCCTGAACATCTGTTGCACTGAGCAAAAAGTTATTGCTATCTTATAAAAAAATAAAATAATGAAACAGAAATTTAAAACTATCTCTTTAAAATATTACTTTTAATGAAATTTAAGCAGAGATTTTCATAGTCTTCTTATCGGGTTTTTCCACAATAAAATAAAATGAAGTCTTATAAATTATCACTATAGATACGCAACACACTTTCACTTGGAATTTCTTATTATTATTACATTTCAGTTATCATCTATTTTTTAATGAATTCAATAGCAAAAAAAAAAACACTTTTGATGCTTAATATTTCTTTTTCTTCTCGAGCGAAATTTATGCGAGTTTTCAAGGCGCCGATAATAGATTAAAACTGCTTGTCCTATAAATGAAGCCGTCGACCTTGGAGTAAAAACCTTTATGAATCATAGAGATTAGGGCGGATCGATTATCTAACCTGTTACTTATATCTCATAATTAAAGTATAAAATTAAAGGAACCATTTCCAGCCTGAATTATTTGCAGGTAATGATGGAATTATTATCTGGACAAAAGAATTGAATTTTGCTCTATAAAGAGGTGAAAATTTTTAGAAAGCGTAGAAGCATAAAAAGATGTGACCCAAAGAGAGTAAATATTCTCAGAAATAGTGAATGTCGACAACGGAACTTTTTTTCATGAACAAATGTTATCTTGAATATACTTTGAGGTACTTAGAGAATGCCATTCATATAAAACCTCAACTTTACTTCTTTGAAATTCTCAATGTCATACTTGGGTTTTTTTTTTCAAATCTTATTTGTTTGATTTAGGAAAAAAATGACTATATTAAAAACACTAAAAAAAAAAGAGGAAGATAAAGTAGAGGACGAAGGTCATAGTTTATATCTAAATCATTACAAAGAAGATATTAAGCTATTATCGCACTATCTGTTTCGATAAATAATCTTCAGTGCTAGCAATACAAGAATAAATATAGCAATATAGAAATATAATGCAATGATTCCTCGAAGAATCTTTAAAATTCAAATTTTAATCAAAGCCAAGAAATTAAGAACAACTTTAGCTTGTGCATATAAAAATCTAAGTTTCTTCAAGTAAAAAGACTCACTTTCCCGTGTATAATTACATCAACGGATCCTTTAAGGACAATATACCAACAATTACCCGCGTCACCCTGTCGGAACAATACATGTCCAGCGTGTTGGTGCTGTTCGAAGAAAACAACCGCCGCTAATTCACGCTTCACCATTGTACTCAGATGAGTTAATGCTTTTACGTGTAATAATTCCCTGTAAACGTGCTCTAGTTCCTGCATCGTACGTTCCGATGACCTGAAAATGTTAAACAAAACTCAATGAAATATTTAATAAGCATCCAAAAATGTTTTGTCATTTATCAATTAAATATCACTGAGAAAGTTCTTTTGTGTTCAGTCCTTCTTATCTTTTAGATTAGTTTAAAGAGATTAAACAGACGGTTTGCAGAGAATCATGCGAAATAGCGAATCAGGTCCAATCGTACTGAGGAAGGATATGGCTGCAGCAATATCACTAATGCGTGGTACCGTTTCTTGCTCTCCGTCAAACATTACACCACTTATTAACCTGGATGTTTTACTATACATAACTCTCATTCCAATAATTTGTTAACAATTTATTAAATAATTAGGTTATTTGCTATCATCTTACAAAATACACTAGATTTATCAAGTGAAATAATGTAATCGATCAACAATATAAAGCTCAAATTGAAATTACAGTAAGAAAAACGAAAATACTAGTTTGTAAGTGGGGCACACAATTAGGCGGTAAATGGATCAGAGTATTGAATGTACATATTCACGCAAAATCTTTCATACGTTCAAACGTATAACTATTCTAATTTGCATAAATTCATGAAGAATCGATTTTTTTTTGATTGAGAAACAAAATTATATTCAGAAATATGCATTACGCACTCGCTGTCTTGTAACTGAGATTAATGTTATCATAAACTGTAAGTACCTCATATTAAAATTAGCTGTGGTGCCAATATTCCAACGATAAAAAAATTGCTTGTCGGCAAATTGCAGTTCGTTACTTACTGAAAACTAATCAGTATGATCTTCCAAATTTCTATGACAAGTCTTTATTTTTTCAATACCGTATAATTTTTCTCTTAAAATTATGACTCTACGTCTCTTTGTTCACTTCTGCAGCCATAACTTTCTGTATCTGTATTTTTTCTGATTCTAAAATTTTTATTTGTTTAGTATTGGCTTCACATCATTCAAATATGCATTTGCTATGATGTAAAATAATAAATTTCCAAAAACACATTTGAACATTATTCATTCAAAGACGAAACTTAACACACTTCCTAATTCAGCATTTCACGTGACCAAAATATTGTTTTCTAAATGGTTAAGTGAAAATCAAACGTAAGTCATCCTTCACTGATGAATTTTGCTTCCTTATTTACTTGTCATGGTTTATTTCTGATACAATAAAAGTGTATCACTTCATATTTTAATACGCTATGCTAATTATCTCAGATCTTACTCGAGCAGTGAGCAGAGTAATCATCAAATTAGGTCACAGCCTGAATAATAAAACAAGACAAAAATGAAATCAAATTCTTTTACCATGTGCAATGACACCGTTTTCCAACAAAGCTTGCCACATGCCAACCACTTGAAAACGTGTTAGCGACATATTCTTAGTTGAATCCAGCGTTTTGGTAGTAAGACTGCTCAGCCAATCAACCATTTCCGTGCCAATCATGCACGACAAGAAAGACTGAAAGCAATGCTCGTAGTGTTATTAAAGAATTCGCAATTAATCTAAGGTCATTCGTTCCAAAGATTTAAATTTTATAACAAAAGCAATTATAAGCAGACATAACTATAAGAATAGAAATTTTACTTTTTCGCTACTGATCCTTCTCTCCACACTCAAATTACAGGTATAATTAATACGCATTGTTGCAATAAAACTTCATACGTTTTATATTTCGGAATGGAATTCATTAAATCTTGTTACGTTATGGCAGCGAATTAATTGGTAAGAAGTAAACTGAACAGAAGAGGAGAAAAATAAATAAAAGATGCATTATAAGGAAAAGTACTGTTGGCAGTGTTGCATAATTATCTCTTGCATAATCAAAATAAAAATCTAAGCTAAATTTTGAAGACCTATTACTCTAATCATATACTTAAACTAGACTTCGTATTAGTAAATTGAAGAAAAAAGGAAAAAAATTCTTTTATTTCAATTTATATCACAGTTTTAATCTCAGGGATCTAATTAATTTCTAACCAAATTGAGTCACTAGCCATTTTGATGTCACGTCATAATTATTTGTTGAGTGATCTACGGACTTAGTGAGATTGTATTTTATTTATTACTTAGCACACTATCTACTAAAGTTTTTGTTTTCAACAACGATTTTTAATGGAATTTGAGTATAAATATCTTTTGTAAAATAAACATTTGCCTTTGAAGCACTTTTGATCGAAATCAAAAAAAAAAAAAAAAAAGGAGAGAGATTCTTGTGTTAGAAAATGAAACTTCCCTCCTTTGATTTCTTTGATTTCTCCTCTCCTCATTAATAAATTGTGTCGTTTGTTGTATTATTTTAGAGTGCTTTAGTATATTTCTTAATTTCCTAAATGTTCTTGTGTGCTTCAGATTATTCCGCATCACTTTTTTTATTTTGTTTAAAACTCAAAAAAACATAGCGGAATGAAAAGTACCGCCTCTTGCATAGTAACTTGTAAATGAACTTTTAAATTCTAACTTGCAAATGTCCTCTACGATCCCTGATGAGATGTGGGTCACGCAGCTCCATAGTCTGTTTAAGTATATGTCCTGCTTCATAGATCCTTGATTCCAGTGACTAGAAATTTTGATACGAAAGGAAAATTCAAACTGTGAAAAACTTGGTCTTCAAACTTCTTCGAACTAAAAAATTTTGCGCAAAATACATTTTCAAAATCTTAATGCTATTATCAATAATAATTTCAATTAAATGTGAGAGATATGCTGATGCTAACAAGGTAGCATCACTCACTTTTATAAACTATATCAATAGATCTCGATGGAGGGATACTTTTTTGAGCATTTGAGCTGACAGACATCTCATTAAGATAAGGAAAAATTCAAACTGTAAAAAGAATGCTTACAGCAGAATTATTGAGCTCAAAGTAACTTGAAGGAGAATTCCAATCGCACTCCACTTCGCTGTCAATATTAGCAGTAATTGTATTTGGCTCATACCGCACATCGTTCGCAATTTCGTTGTTACGTTGTAGCATTTCGTGAAAATCATAAGCCATTTTGCCATCTATAGAAAAATACCACAAATCCATTAAAATCAAATTCCAGTTTAGTCTAAGTTGATTTGAAACAATTTACGTCCAAATGCTATTTTTTACATTCCGTATATCGTCAAATAATTACTATGTTCGTCACCTGGAGACGTAAAATTCGCTAACTCCACCTAATCATTTGCGCATTATTTAGCTTATATCAATATGTAACAATTATTACTGTTAAAGGTAAAATAAATTTCACTTTTTTATTCCTGCAGGATTTATTTTTTCAAGAATTCTTCTAAATCTCTAAATCTCGCATGCCTTTTAACAATAATTCGCGAGAACAAGGCGAATTTCTACAGAGTTTTAATATCAATATAATACTAATGCTAATGTTTCTCACTCATTATCACGAAATACTTACCAGGCTGATTGAAATCTGTCATTACATCACCTTCCAGTCTAATGTTCCGCCTCTGTTTGTGGTCTTGCGGAACTAATGCCGCTACACTGTAGTCTGTAAAAAAGAATATGCATACATGTATAATATATTATATATCGTATTTCCGATAATCAATCAGTCTTCACTCTTCCGGTGAAGTTAAGATAAACAAAAAAAAAGTAAAAAAAAACTGAAGGCAGAATCAACAAGAGTGTGGCATTTATTCCTAAAATCCATGCTACCTATTCCTGAATCAGAATGCAGTATTATTGCTGTAAAGTATACCATTATTCTATACTTGATGTTTTGTTTATCTTGATCACTACAGAATTTTTAGCATCTGTAACTCTTTAAAAGTTTCCTCTTCCCGAAATACAAATTATTCGTATACTGTATAGCAAAGAGAGTAAAATTTCGAGCTTATTAGTCCATAAATATTGTTTGGCAAAGTTGAATAAGTTTAGCCGTCAAGTAAGAGATTCACAATTAAATAATCAAGTAATTTTGGTGGTTCAAGGGATAAAATATTAACAATTTTTCAGCATACCAACTAGAAAAAAGAAATCTGAAAACTGATTAACACTTTTTTTGAAAAAAGGAAGCATTGCTTCTCGTATTCAGGAAGATCGCTTTTTCTATTATTTTATTTTTCTGATATTCTAACTATCGACAAAATAAATATGTTATTCAAATGATTTTGCCTCGAATTATTTTTTCCATTATTTCTTATCAGAAATTTCTTATTCCATTATTTCATATATTTCTTATCAAAAAACAATTACACTTTTAATTTTATTAAATGGCTTGCTTAAAAAGAAGACTACTTCAAACGATTTTTCATATTTCATTTTTAACTGCTGAAACTAACAAAGAGTGTTGTATGAAGTAATAATATTGGGATCTATATATGTGACATTTCGGGTTATTAAGTTATTAAAAACAATTATAGTTTAATCGCAATGTGCTATGTCTTTTGGCTCTTTAAAGTATTTCGGTATTTTAGATGCAGCTATTTGACAGAATATAGCAAATGCTACGATACAATATAAATTTGATGTAAATTATTACTAAAAACAGAAAAAAGGATTTTGGATAATAAAGAGCAAGCTGAAAATAAATTGTAATGAAGTGGACGAACCGAGGTCATCGGAGATGAGATCTTGCATGACGATAATATGTGGTTGCAGATTATCCGCGTGTTTCTGTAATAAGATTAGCTTGTTATGAATAGAAAAAGATATGGCATGATTACAGCCGTAAGCTCAATTTGCTTAAACTGTTACTTTGCACTGCTAATTACACAATCAAAGTTAAGCAGCACCGACAGCAGCTGCAGTTGAGTGGGAGGAATAATGGAAGAATGCAATTCAGAGTAGTTTACTCAACTGTTCGGTAATATCACAAAATATTTATTCAAACTATTTCCATTAAGGGATAGTATGCTAAACTATTGACCAGAAGTTTAATAGTATGGAAAATACTTCACTATCTGCTTATTATTTATATGTGGTAAAGAGAGAGAGGAAGAGAAAGAGCTAAGCAAATAAGTGAGACAGAATAATTGACAGGTGTTTATATGCATGTCGTCCTGTGATTAGAAATAGAGTAGTCCGTGAAGTTTGAAATTTCCGGACTGAAAGCAATTTTAGTACAAACGAACATTCATTAGAAATGAGTCCAAAGAAAATCAATGCAAAATATTTTATCATTTGATGGATAGAGGAATTTTTCCGTTCTAAATATGTCAAAAATTGCTGAATTTAATTCAGGATTGTCTCAATGACAGAAGAAAAGAGAAAACTGCTTCCGGACAAAAACCATAGGGAAAAAGTAGTATGTGAAATTCACTGCAAAGACATTAATGATTTGAAAAAAAGAATCGACATGAAACGATAGAGAAGCAAAAAAAGGAGCAGCGAAAAGAGAAAAGAATAATTTTAATTAATTCTGGTGCATGAAAAAGACTTTGACAATGAGGCCAAGTTAAACATAAATCTATTATCTGCTAAAAATTGAGTTAGTGCCATCGATGAGAGAATTCTAAAATCTTCATCTCATATTTTAGTGAATTTGTTTATTCAAAATAATAATAATAATTACTCGATATATCAGCCAATTCAGTTCAAAATAAAAGATTTATAAGATAAAAATATAAGGCTAGCTAATGACTCATAAACAATTATATATCAGGTAAACATGAATCAGCATTAATAATATTAATGCTCATTATGCAGAAGCTTAATTAGTTAATGTCAATCTCATCGTACTCACTTTGTATAGATTCACATAAATTTTATAAGTAGATATTAACATCCCTTAACTGACTGATTCAGTCTAGATGGAAATAGTCAGAAACAAAAAAGTGTCATTCCAAAATGTACATCGTAAATAGAGCAAGGTAGTGATATACTTGATATTAATCATGCATTTTAGAGCGATTCCAATAAATTATACATTTGCACCAAAATGTTCTGCATACAACTTCATCATATATGTTACATTTTCCAGAATTTCGCACAAGATATCAGAAGTCGAAATGATGGAAGCAGTGTTATATTTCAAAATAAAGGTTCCAAAATTTATATAATCTTCTTGTAACGTTTTCTTTTACCATCATTAGTTTACATCTTAAAACTTATGATAAGAAAACTTATTTTCCGAAATACATAAAATACGCTGAAGAAGCAATAAAAGTGAAATGGTATAACACAAACTAGGAGGTTATCTGAACAGAATCATATAAGAAACAATTTAAGTTTTTTTTTTCTTGCAGCTTTATTTTCTATTTTTTGTGAAACCGGAAATGACCAATGGAATTTTCCTTGTGAAAACGGAAATAAGCTAACAAGATCAAATCACTCCCGTTACAGCATATTTTGCAGTCACTGATAAAAAGCAACTTCAGTGGGAACAATTAGAGGCTGAGTACAGGAAAGAAACTCGACATAATTGTTTGCTGCTTTTATTTCCTTAATTAATTATTATTGAAATTAATGACGAAGAAAATGACACAAACATTATAAATGGCGACAAAATGACTTTGATTGATGGTGACAATTTCAGCTGGACGTATAATACGTGCTGAGCAGGAATGCCGTGAAATTGATAATTCACCAAAAAGCGCAATTGGTTGTAACGTTTCGATTATACGCTCATTCTGAAAGCTGACAGCATCATGACAGCTTTTTTCTGCTTCTCTGTTTTTTATTTCTTTCGCACATTTTATTTTAAATAACTTTCGTGAAACACAAATGATTCTTACTGGTACATATTTCAAAAAAAAGCATATAAGTCAATATCAATTTGATAATATAAGCTTCAGGACCGAGTGAGTGAGAGGAAGACAGAAAGAGAGAGAAACCTGAAACTGAAATTAATCATAGGTCTTCAATGTTTACTGCTACTGTCTTAATGAAGAATAAAATCCGACTTGAAATCAAAATCTGAGCTGTAAGCAATCATTTGTTGTTAACAATCATCCATATCTATGTGCAATACTAAATGGTAGGGAGCAAGAAATGTCAAAAAAAACGTACTTTTCATGCTCGATCGGAGTTATAAAATTTCTTAAGTAAATGAAACAAGAAAACCAATTGTTAGTACCAAATATGGAAGCGAATATAAAAGCATATGAATACATAAAATCTGATTGCTAATTGACGGTTTAAAGTGAGTGATAACCCTCTTTCAGCAGTTGATAGTGGATCGTGTCTAGTGTATTACAGTAACCATCACAGTCAAGTACCCATCCCTAAAGTGCTAACCTGATTTTTGACACACTTTTATGCAATGCATAAGTTAAGCAGAGAAGTTCAAAATTCAGTGTTACTAGAAATAGTCTCAGATGGCATACTTACAACTTACCCTGAAGTGTTCAGAAAAACTTCAAACTCAAAGCGATAATATTTATAATTACTTAAATCATATATACAAAAAAAAAAAATGAGACAATGACTTAAAATCATTTCATTTCCCAGCTCCATTCAAGTTATTTCACAATACATCTAAGTGATGTTTGTTCAAGAACTGCTTCATTCAAGTAAGATCAACGATAAGATAAAGAGATTATTTCTGTCTGGCAACTTCTGATGTGATTTCTTCCTTTTCTTTGTTATTAGCAATTGTTTACAAAAAAAATTGAGGAAGTTGAAAAAAATCTTTCCAGATATGAATGATAGATTCACGTTCAGCAATGTAATACCTTATAATCTATGAATATTTTAAGTTAAGGTTTGATTATATCTGATCTAGGCGATAGGAACATAAGTTTCTCAAATCTTTCACTTCAATTTGTTGCCACAATAGTAATTTAGGTTACAAAAATTTCCTTTGATTATTGATTATCAATCAATAATGTCATGCAAATATAATAATGAGTAAATGCATTTTCAGAAAGTTTTTTTTTTCCTTAAAAAAGAGAACGTTTGAAAGAAAACTAACATCGGCCGTAGAGAGAAAAAGCTGAACTTCACCGGATAGTAGTAAATACCAGTAAAAAATCTGATCGCCACTTTGGAATACTGCAAAATGGAAGAGAAACATTTTGAATAAAAAGATTATAGATGATCCTTTTGCTTTCAATTAATTAATCGTTTAGTGAAAGTTTCATTGATTTCTCAAAGTGAGGAAAGGAGAAATACTTGAAAAAAAAGCTTAATGCTTCTTTAATACTAGTGAACTTTTTTGTTGGGCCTTAATCTTAGCTTATTTGGTATGCTTGTTTTATTACAAGTAATGTTGCATTTTAAATGCTTACAATTCAACAAAATTAGATTCAACTAAACTCATTTTGTACTATTTTCGTCGTATTATTATCGCTATAGACTCCATTTCATTTTATTCAAATAATTTCAACTTTTTCAACTACAATAAATTACTTTTTCTTTTCATCAGACAATGTTATACTACCGACAATATATTTTTATAAAATTTGATGATTAAAATAAGTAATTTTCATGTAAAAATTCAAAAAGAAGTTTTTGTTCGATAAGTTGTACTATATTGAGAAAAAAAAACATGAAAAGTTCAAAATCAAACATAAAATGTCGCGTCCATTCGGTTTATTTCTGAAAAGACTGAAGACTTTGTGAACACATTCAAGTTTTTTTTTTTTTGAATAATAAATTTGAAAGTAAAAAAAAAAGTGCTCATATAGCTTGGATCATTTATTTGACGCATCACGTTACATTGCCGAAAAAAATTTTTTAATTTCTTTCTAAAAAAAAAGTGTTTTTTTAATTTTTCGCTCTTAATTTTCGAAATGTATATTTCCTTAATCTTTGAAAATTGCAAACTTTCGGATTGGAAATTTTTATCGTTTATTTTCTTAATAAAAAAGATCAGTGAGGAGAGAAACTTCAAAACCACGAAATGAACACTTTAGTTATACATAATTTGCAATGAACGCTAAATGATTTATCAAGAAAGGATTTTATTCTTTCTTTTTCTCATTTTTTTTATTCTTTTGCTAAATAATTTGGTCATTTGAAAAACTGTGTGAATTTGACAAATTTTCTATAGTACTATTTAAAATGATGCTATCAGGATATGTAAAAGAGTTGAGGAACTTCTTTCTTGAAAGAGAAAAATTTCTCGCATAAGCTTTTAACTTTGCTTTAGAAATGAATAAATGATACTAAATAAATTGGTGCGACCATAAATAAATGGAAATAGCAATGTTAAAGGCTCTTTGTAAAGATTAAAAAAGATTTCACTTAAAAAATTTTAACATAACTCTTTTGTGTATCGATTGATAACTGATTTTTAATGATGCGTAATGGTAGAATTCACGAAATTTATTAATATTTAATAATACTAGCAATTCTTTTTTATCCCTTCAAATTGTACACTATTTATATACATTTGCAAGGTATATTTACACCAAGGATTAAAACTCATTCCTTCATCTTTAGGAATGTATTGCAAAAACTTGACTCTTCTGACAATACCCAGTATTCGGAATAACGTTGTCGAATAATTTTACTTTTAATCTTCAGCATCACTTACGCATCATTTGTTAATATTTACTTATCTCAAAATCTCTTCATTATTTGATGCTCTCATACTTTTGAATAGTGACTAAAAATTCTGCTATGTGAAACTATTACAAGTAATAATAGTAATCTTTAGTAACAATATTACAGTTACATCAAACATGCCATAAAGTGGTTGTACTCAGAAAAAGAGAAAAGCTGAGTAGAAGTATCAAGTAAAGTAAGTAATTTTCTGACTTCAAAAATATTAGAATTAAATATAGAAATTATTACGTAAGACTCCGTTAGCAATTTGCTTTGGTTTACAATCACTGTTGCCAAGTACGGTGAAAAGTAACGCATCGGGAAACTGTTTTGAACGGCTTTGTCGCTGGATACGAGCAACGAGACGATCCATGCTAAGGTTGAATTCATTAATCGATTTTGAATTTTCCGAGAACTGGAAAATTCATGAAATTTTAAGTATAAGGCAGAAGACATTAATGATGAAATTTAATTTTCCCTTTTCTGCTTTTGCTTACTGTTAAATTAAACTTCATAACAAGATTTATGGAATGAACCTAAGGTCTGTTTCCTTTTCAGAACTTACCGACCATATCCCTGACCCCACTTTAATTTTGTTGCTATTTTGATTGCTATTTTCTAAGATTCTCATACATTGTAACAACTTATATATTCAGACAAATAAATATTATCTGTAGGCAGCAAATCTTCGTTATTATTGTTTTTGTAACTGTTGACCGAGCTCTTTTATTATTAGTGGTATGATTTTAAAATTTGCAGAAATCGTTAATAGCAAGAATTTATTCGAAACGATCGTTTTCAAGCCTAGAGATATAACTATTCTTCCCAAAAGATCTAAAAAGATTTAATCAATAAATTTCCTTTTTGAACACTTCAAACTTTTAATAGGACGTCGAAAAGTAGTTGGGAAACTTAAAAATCAATAGATGATTCCATGGATGGATAACATATCATCATAAATAATGCAAGAAATTTCGCGATGCTTTTTCCTTTGGTGCAACTTTTCCCAAAAAATAACCTTGGCGCAGACTCTTTTTTGGAAACCTGCTATATGATATATGCAACTTCGATCATCTGATTGTTACCCTTCTTGCATTGATGCGAACAAACGAAATGCGAAAACATAAAATCGATGACTGATATGTGCAATAGAACGGAATGAATTTATTTCATTGCTTTCCTCATTTTATCTAAATTGAAAATCATCCCTTTAAAAAAAATTGTATTAATAGATGTGAACGAAGCACGAGAAATGTATTATAAATGTTTTTTCTTGGAATGATTGAAAGAAGGAAAGAAACTAATTGATAGATACTTTAATGGAAGGATGATGACTAAGTATGTCTGGGAAAGAAGTTATATCTGTTACAACGAAGACAAAGCATTGCTCTCTAAAATCAATTGGCCTCAATTTGTTTGAAATGTCCGACCTACTCTTCAGAGTACTTCTGCTGTTCACCTGCCTATTTTGATTCTAACTTAGAATATCATCTTGATGTTATATTTAATATCCAGAATTTATTCGATTTATCATAATAAGTAGATGATAAAGAAAATCCATCAAAATAACAATTATCTTTTTTAGATGTAAAAAATTGTGGACAGTAAAGCTACAAACTTTGAACGTCAATTCAGTTATTGTAGAAGAAATGGGAGAAATCTGAGGCGAAATTTTCCTAAAGAATCAGTTTTTCCCTTTATGTGGAGCAAATAACTATAAACGACAATTCTTCTGGATAAGTGTATGATTCTAGTCGTTTTGTTAGATCGAAAATACATTGAATATTTGCTAGTTATAGTAGCAGTAACTGATGGAAATTCTAAAAAAAAACCAAACATCTATGAAATATGTTTATAAAGGCTTAAAAAATATTTTAAATTATCAGATAAATAAGCGTGATAAGAATGAGAGAATTACTGTTCTTACATTATCCTTCGAAGGCAACAATACTGACAAATTGCAAGAAGTAAGCAAATATGCTTCTTACCTAAACCTCATACAGCATTCCCAAATTTAGAAATTAAGCTCAAGAAAATCTTGGGAAATGAAAAAACTACAAAAATTGTTCCATGCATATCCAAAACAAACTTCAGCCCTTCAAGAATATATTTTCACTGATAGTATTTTTCTATACAGCAATTTTTTTTGCAACAAATAATCAAATACATCTTTAGACTAATTATCGATGTTAATATTTGAAGCAAAAAAGTAGGATAATCGATTGCAGTAAATTTTGCGAGAAATTTTTACCTTCAGTCAAAGTTATAAAAGAGTATTCTATGAAGCAGACATCACTTTAATGGTTTAGAATATTAATAAATAATAGATTTAGAACGTTCTCCCTTTAATCGTTTTGTTTACTACTAGGACCAAATAAATATCTGGAGATGAACAAGTCTATTACTTTATCCGTCAATTTATCAACACATGATCTGTCTGAGTTTCGGAATGCTATAAGTTTTTCCGTAATAATCACCGATAAATATAACCGGTTAATCTAGTACTGATTTGTTATTTCTGCTAAAAAAAAATGATTAGAGTGATAAACACTGATAAGGAAGAAGTAAAATCAATCGTGAGAAATACATATAACTGCGTGGAGTAAATGAAAAAATACTACAAAGGCCAAGATGTGAGGCTATTTGGAGAGAAAGCAATAAAAAAGGCCAATGGAATCAGTAAGTTGGTTTAAGCACGCAAAACAATTTAAACATGTAAGGAAAGGCCAACTTGTAGGTCTATCAACTAAAGCTGCAATTAAAAAGGACCGAAAATATGGACCACACTTTCAATCTCTAAATACATTCATTTGGCTAGGGGTAATTTAGATAACAAACAAAGAAATATCAAGCATCGATAGAGCATTATATAGATTGATATACATACATACTACATACAGCACGCACACACACACACACACACATGTGTGTGTTGAGCTAAGTAGACAAGCTGGAGATCTATAGGGCTTGGCCATAAGGTTTTGCAAGATGAGAAATGATGCGATGGCCAAGAATAATAAAGACATTGTTATGAGAAGAAGAAGCATACTTGGTGAAAGAGAAATGGTTGAAAAAAATGCGTTATATTGCAGAAAAAGGAAAGAGAAAAGCAAATATATTCAAGTCTAATTTCTTCTTTAAGCTAAGCAAGCATACCTATAATCTGAAAAAAAAAAAAAAGAAAAACATCTGACTGCTTTCATGATTCCGATAACCCAAAAAAGAAAAACATCTGACTGCTTTCATGATTCCGATAACCCATCTTCATATTTTCCTGGGATGAAAAAATGATTGAAAAATAGAAAATTTTTGACACCTTTTATCTCAAAAAATTTTTCCACTTCCCAAAATTAAATATTGTGGGAATTCCATTTGGAGAATATTTCACAGTTGAAATTATAGTTGCAACTGTCCTTTTTTCAAACCTTCACCATAACGAATAAAAAAAATCACAGGTTATAATTCATATAGTTTTTCTACATAATAAACGAACCACGATTTTGCGCGAGTCTGTTACTGTTCGCTTAGATTTAAATATATATAATAAGATTCAGGAAAAAAGAATGCAAGAAGTTCTGGATCCGAAGTGAGAAGTTACGTTTCAAAGTTAACCGGAACTTCATGTAAGGGGTAGAAGTACTCCTTGGTTAACAATTGAGTTAAGATTCTGAAGTACTCAGAGTGTCTAAATTTATCATTCTCTACTACAATGATAATTTGCTATAAACTAATTAACAAAATATTATTCTGTTTTTGAATCAGTTGTCAATAACAAGAAGAAAAAAATTTATTTGTCTACTGGTTTATAGAAGTTTTTAAATAATTCTGTACTAAACATTCCCGATAGTTTAAGTTCCAAATAAACAATTAGAAGTGAACACAGATTGAACAATAACTTTTTTTTCCGTCATCGATATTTCATAGTAATGAAGCGCATCTTTAAGATTTATCACAATGAATTTTAAAGTTTCAAATTTATAAAAAAAATGTCAGAAATTTGCATCAAATTATTGCAACAAACTTCGCTCTTAGTTTTGCTAATATAAACGTTTGGAGAATACAAAATTTATGCCTCTTATCACTGCCAATTCCTTTCATTGCGCCTTAGTCATGGAATTTTCTTTTCCACAAAATGTTTTTTTTTTCTTTTTTTTTACTTTTGTTCAGAAATCAACACATCAAAATTTGATTGTGCTGTAATGGAATGATTTTTCACCTACGCTATATAAATGCACATATATATATATATCTTTCTGACTTTCTCTTTTATCATTTTCTTCTTGCGCATTTTTTCTGAATTAAATTAGCATCCTGTGATAATGCTCAAAAATTCTTTTGCATGCATTTTTTCAATTTCAAACACGAATTGAATACTAATTTAATATGTTTGTCGGAATGAATAGGAAATTTGAGTTAAAAATTACTTTATTTCAATCGTCCTCAGTATTTTTCATGAGATGAAGTTGGAGGTTATTATTTTTATTATTTTGATTCAGGGTGATTTTTGCGGTATTTTTTTTTTTTTTTTGTTTTTTCTTTATGTTGTTTTTAGTTTTTATATAGAGTGGTATTTTGGAAAGTTATTATGATGTTTTTGGGTTTGTAGTATAATTTAATATAGATGATTGCAGATCATTTGATTTTTAACCTTGAGTTAATTTTTTTTAAGTTTTGAAAACTTTTTTGAGGTTTTTTGCCTTTAACTTTGCTGAATTAGTTTAATTTTTAAAATAAAATGTTTGGGGCTTTTTAGATTTTTTTCAGTTTTTTTAAAGATTTAGTATATTTTAGTATAGCTTATTGTCTGTTAGCTGGTTTGGTCTTTTGGCTTTTTAGTTTATTGTTTGAATTTTTTATTTACGATAAAAGGGTTTTTAAGGTTATTATTTTTACGTACCAATATTATCCTCTCATTATGAGGAAAAAACCGCAATATGTATGACAATACCGCGGTTTAATTTTGGAAGTGAAAAGGCAACAGAAAGTATTTCACACCATTATTGTGTGCTGAAAGTTAGTTGATTGCAAAATTAATGGTTGCTCTTAAGCTCGATTCAATTGAAAATCTTGGACGATGAGTCATCACCATAGATAACATATACATCTCTGTGCCATTCTATCATTCAACGCTTTCTTGCAAACTGATAAATCAGAGAAGTAGCAAATAAATGGATAGAAGAGAGGAGAGAAAGAGGTGGAGGAGGGAGTGAGAGGAGAGGAGGGAGAAAGAGGGAGAGAGGAGAGATGGAGAGGGCAGGAGAGAGGAGGGTAAAAGGGCGACGTAGGAGAGAAAGAAGAGGAGGGAGAGAGGACAAGATGCAGAGAGAGAAGAGGTGGGAGAGAAGAAAGAGAAAGAAGAGGCGAGAGCGAGGGGACAGGAAAAGGGGAGGGGAGAAGAGGAAGAGGGGAGGGATAGAGAGAGCAGGAGAGAGGGAGAAGAGGAGAGAGGAGGGAGGGGAGAAAGAGGAGGGAGAAGAGAGAAGGGAAAGAGGGCGAAGAGGGAGTGAAAGAAGAAGAGAAGAAAAGAGGGAGAGAGGAGAGAGAGTAGAAGAGGGGAGAGAGGGGAGGAGGGGAAGAGGAAGAGGAAGGATAAAAAGGCGACGCAGGAGAGAAAGGAGGGAAGGGAGAGAAGACAAGGAGTAGAGAGAGAAGAGGTGGGAGAGAAGGAAAAGGAAGAAGAGGCAGGAGTGAGAGGACAGGAGGGAGGGAAGGAAGAAGAAAGAGGGAGAGAGATGGAGAGGGCCGGAGAGAGAGTGGAAGAGGGGAAGAGGAAGGAGAGGGAGAAAAAGGGAGAGAGCAGAGAGGATGGAAAGAGGAAGAGGGGGGATAAAAAGGGACGTAGGAGAGAAAGGAGGGAAAGGAGAGAGGACAAAAGGGAGGAAGGGGAGAAGAGGGAGAGGAGAAGAGAGGGGAGAGGAGGAAAGAGGAGGGAGGGGAGAAAGAGGAGGGAGGGGAGAAAGAGGAGGGAGAAGTGGGAGAGAAGAGGGGGAAGGGAGGAGGAGAGGGGAGCGGAAAACTCCAAGGGAGCATATTTGCAATACTGACAGCAAACAGTGATCGATATCAAAAACTGATCAGATCAAAAATCCAGACTTACTTCTCGCTTTGCAGGTAGAGCATAACGAACTTATGCAAAAATAAATCTTTTTACCATTTATGTGATAGTACAAAATTTTCCTGAACAAATCAGCGGAGATTAAAATACCCAAATTCCACTAGTGGCCAAAATATCCTAGTTGATATGCAGTCAATTGAATTATCGAATTTCACATCGGATATTAGTGTTGCAAGCTATTAAAATTTCCAATAATTTAATTCTGGCGGTGATTACCGATTGTTGATTACCGATTAATTCATCTCTTGAAATCTGCAGAAGTAATGTTAAATAATCGTAAAAAGGATAGAGAATAGGCTACCAATTTTTCTGTAGAATAATTTAAGGATTAGTGGTTGATATTTCAATCCTAGAAATTCGACTTATTCTAGATCAATAATTCGTTTTATCGCGCATATTTTTATGCTTTGTAATGAATATAAGTTGTTATTTTTATGTGTTCAAAAAATGATCTTTATTAAGGAAGTTTTTATTTTATTTCTTCATTTACAATTAGTAAAATAGGTTTCGGTGAAATTGTTGAAGTAATAAACTGATAAACATTCATCTTACGATGTTTTTGATTATAATTATCAGAGAAATGAATACTGATTGATGCCTTTTGTTATTATTAGTAACAAAATCACTTTTTTCCCAGTGATATTTTACGCAAGTACAGTATCAATTTCTACGTGACCACAATAGGAAAAACATGGGAATATGCAGATAAAGTTGATTCAGCGGGAGTATGTTCAATTATTTATTTTCAGTTTCTCTTTTGAAAATATGAGAATATAATAGTAACATTTATCTTATGTAAGCAAATCCTCATTCTACAACCACAGTTTGCTTTAAATTAGACCAAACTCACGTTGTCGCGAAAGTGACAAATAAGTCTCGCCAACCTCCAAATAACTTATAATATATATCGAATAAATTATATTAATATTAAAATTTGTCTTAATTGAACATTCATTAAAGAAATACAAGTGTTTCAAATTGCATCTCATGCAAGTAATTTTCCTAACACTCACCTTCCTGTTATAGCTGAGTTTATCTGCTTTTCTGGAAATTTTCAGCTGTTATGTGCATTTTTTAATATGCTGAAGTATTCCTTTAATCCAAACCAAATTTTCTTGCAATGTCGAAATATTGTGAAGGTTTTCTTATCTAACAGTCATTCTTATAAGGAAATGACAATATCAAAACCCATCTCTTACTATATAAAGAGTAAAGATTATCTGATAGATTTTTACTCAATGTAATCATGCGCTTGTTGTAAGTCAATGTCCACTATATAAGGTTTTAAAATCTTTGTTTTAGTTTTTTGTACGAGCAAGTTATAGTTTGATTACTCTCTCGCACTCATTTAATTCGGTTCATTTAAATTTTTTGAGTTCTCCATCAATTTATTTACTTTCTTTTGAGCATACGAAAGTCCAATTTGACTTTAAGCTACAAGATTCAAACACCCCGCGTTTCATGACACATCTTTCTCATCCAGTACGACATATGAAACCTCTCAATCACATCATATCCTATGAAAGCATTATATCCTACCATTCTAATACGAAAGAAGAATGACTGACTACTTGTCCTGCTAAAAACTTTATTTATGGAAAAGTAATACAACAAAAAACTGACCATGCACAAAATAATTTATTTCATTTCAAAAAATAAAACTAACTACTTTACAAAAAAAACTGGAGTAATAATCGAAAACTTTTAACTATCCACATACTACAGAAATTTTAGGTTCGGAAAAATATTAAACTTTGATCAACATTTCACTAAATTGGAATTTAAACCAACAACTATAATCTTGTTTACCGGTCAAGTGCTTTCGCACTTTCCATAATCTATTTCGGCTATCTTGATCACTCAGCAACCAAATAAAAGCAGCAAATACCGCAACACCCGCTCCAACCATTGAAGCGTGTAAACCACGTGCACATCAAAACAGCCCTCCAGTAACTATACCAGCAGTAAAAAGAGCACAATTCAGATTTCATTGTAAGCAAGAAAATTCATACTAGTGTTACCAACATTTCGCACTTTTACTGATTAGTAAAGTCTTACCAACAGCATTAAGGTCATCTTTCGCACGTAATTTTCCAAAAATCATATCAGCAAGAGAGAATATGAATACGATAGAACCAGCAGATGAGCAAAACCACTGCCGTGCTTCACTGAGGAATTCATCAAACGCGTCATAAACGGTTTAAGAGGCTAAAACATGAAATATAAAATTTTGAGAGAATATTTGTAATTCAAAAGATTCTAGAAGATCAACCGTTAAAGTGATCTTTCGTAGTTTAGTTTAAAAAAAAAAAAAGCGAAACCAGTCCAGTCCTCACTAACTGCCTCGTATTAGGATTCCGCAATTCTGGCAGAATACCGCGCACACTGCCCAATGCATAGCCGCCCAAAACAACCCATCCATTCCGTCCCATTGCAAATTCTAATTCTCCTTTCGTCTCAGCAGGAACAATATACATGAAAATACGTCTTTTACAGCACTTAAGTAGCGTTTTGTTAACAAAAGAGTTTCACATGACTTTCTTACAGTTTTTCCCCTTATATGAAAGTTAAGTTTAAGGATTTTATATCGAAATAAAATTATTAGAGGGAAAATTTTCGAAATAAAACTGTTAAATCCTTTAGATCTTAACAACTAAAATTCACTTTCGAAAACGAAAATAAATAAATAAAAAGAAAAATGGAAACAAAGCGTATTTAACGTCTTACAACTTACTGAGGAGTAGATTCCCGGAAAACGGTAGGATTCATCTGTAAATATGGCGATAGCTGTTTCTCAAATGGTACGCCAGCTTGCTTCAACTGATCTAACGCAAATATAGGAGATCTATCTAAACTGATCTTTCTTTTTTTCATTTTCTATCCTACTGCTCATTTGTGTAGATGTTGTTATGGAAAAGTCACTGAAGCTTTCTGTTTCTTTCTCTTTGCTTGCTTGGACATAAAAATGCAAATTGGAAAGGAACACTCTTCGAGAAATTATCATTTTTCAAATTTCGAAATTCTTTATCAAAATTTCTGATTTCGAATCCTGTTTTTTCTTAACCTACAGGTAAAATTTGCTGTTTTTCTTGAAGCTTCTATTTCTTATTTAGCTTTGTCCACCTTTTACCTAATTTCTTTAAAGTTCATTGTTGATTTGTACTCTAAAATTTATCAATACACGTATCAACTAAAACTAAAATTAAATTTCTTAGAAATGAGCAAGAATTCCTGCTGATTTTTCTCAGGTTCCCTATTTTTTTTCCCACTTGGCCGTACTCAAGATCAAAATAATTCAAAATTTCTGGACCGAGACGTTTTGCATATCATTTCTAATGAGCCAGCGTTTTTAATTCAAATTACCAGCCGCATTTATGATCCCTTAAGTAATCAGAGTGGAGGTCATCTGTATAGTCGCTGCTGCCGTCCTTAATGTTGTAAGAACAATGACACTCAAGGTTATCCAACTTTTATTTCATCAAGCACTAAAATCTGTTGGAATAAAAATATTACTTTATCAGTGCTAGATTCATCCTACTATACAAATGATTTAGCCTTAAATTTGAAAATAATTGAATGACTTCTTCGCTTTACAAATTAAATTAAATGAGATCTGCATCGTTAATTTACATAATGGAATGCTTTTTTTAGTAATATCATTCTTATAAAAGATTGTGATGGCGTATCTGTTAAACATAACGTCCTAGATCACAATTTCCACGGTTAAATTACAAAGACTTTTTAACTGCATTATTTGATTTAATCTCTATAAAAAATATTTGAATGAAGCACAAACAAGCAGGATGTAATATAATTCTCTTTGGCATGTTACCTTTTGAAATATTTTATTTACTTATGTATTTGTGAGTGATCTGAGTTTTCTGTTTAGTGTAAAGCTAAACAATAATGATTGTTGTTATCGCTGTTGCGCAAAGGAATTGGAGGACTTATTCAAATATAAATATATTCAAAATCACTTACTTCTAATCGTTAAATCTACCCAGATATTCAGTACAAATTAATGGATGATCAAATATAGACAAGCATCTATCGAATAACTAAAACACTGACCATCCAATAATTCGCGATTAATAAAAGGAAAAAGAAAGGAACGATTTACATATTGTGAAAACTATCTATTTACTAGTACATTGTTACATATTGGACAGCACTTCACACAGGCCTTCTGAGACTCAAGAGACATTAGGCATAAATATTTTGGCAAATCAGTCAACCAATAATCAAAATGCGAGTGATTAGTGGCATCCGTGAAAACTAAACAATATAATTAATCAGTTGAGAAATTTTCCTAACGAACTGAATCTTGTTCTTAGTAAAAAACTGAAATAACTGTTTAAAAAAAAAATTGAAATAATTGTTTTGCAAATCATTTCTTCATTCGACTGCAGTCGAAGCACATTTGTAATTGAAAGTAAACCTTACCTATTCATCATCATCGCATATGTATCAAAATGAAAGACAAACCAGACAAATGAGCTCACTAGAAAGATGATTGTGCTTGGTCCCATTCTCTCTTATACGAGTTTTCTCTCATCCGTAAGTTTTTTAATAAATAAATGCTAAAAACGAGGATTGTAGTAAAATCAACAATGGGCCACACTGTAACAGTGATTTCTTTTTCTCCGTGTACATGAGTGTCCTTTTATTCAGTCACCATTATTGACGTCATCTCTTCCGCATAGAGCAGAATGACCATTACTGATTTCGAACTGCAGTGGCCATTCCATCATCGTCTACAAAATTCAATTTAGCATTCTGCACACTCCTTACTCTTTTCAAATTTCTTTCTTCTTATTCTTCTTTTATTATAATCCGCGCCATGAATTTTGCATGATTTCTTTTTTTTTTTAATTGCATATTTTTGGCATTGCTCTTTCCTATATGAAACTCTTCAGGAATTGTTGACGCTGTCATCCTATGTAAGAAAGACTGCAAATTGCATACGATACTGTCATCCTATGTAAGAAAGACTGCAAATTGCATACGATACTCTCTTATTATATCAAGTTTAATTTAACTCTATCAGCACATGTAATTATACTTCCTCGTACTATTCCATGAGGTATTTTTCACTCATTTCAACCAAATCCGTCCTCATAAATTCTACCTAAAAAAACTATATTAATTATAAAGCATCAAATTTGCCTCAAGTTTGCAGTTGCATCAAAAATAAATTTGAAGTTAGTTATGATAACTAATAACAATGAAATGAAATAGTGTTGGAATACCAGCACAAATGCTGCCAGTTGGAAATAAAAATAAAAGTTTACTCAATTCCTACAAAAATTTTCAATTTCCTATAAAAGACATTCATCTAGTAAACCTAGAAATACCTGTATTACAAAAATTACTTTTATTCTCTTCTTTTAGTATTTCCGTAATAGACGCAGTTTATTTCATTAGCATGATAATTAATAATAATAATAATGCTGAATTACGCAGCAAACATAATAGGTCGAAGGCCAGCTAACTTTTCAATACACAAAGCTAAGCCCATAATTACGGTGTATCTTTTCAACAAAATTATTCCTCCTGACGGTGAGTCATTTCATTTGTCGCCTTCTCTTCCTTTTCCATTTATTATGGATGGATGATTCTGATGCAAACAAGACCGCCGTCATGCTTATATCATTACGGGCTTATGATTTTTTCTAAATTGTCAATATATTGTAATGAAGAGAGAAATGGATTTGAATTCGTAGGATGAAGTTACATGAACAGAAAAGATGTAGCCAAAATAAACAGATATGAGTCAGGAGAGCAGGGAAAAGGTTATCAACGATTCTCAGAAGCAAAAGTAGAAAGCATGAGTGTAAAGGAAGTGAAGAATCCAATGTTTAGACGTTCTGGTAAGATCAAAATGAAGACGTGTAGATTGCTCGTATTATTTGAATGTAGCATGACAACAAGTGTTTATCTTGTTCAATATTTCGTTTCAACTAGAATTGTTTAAAAACTGTATCACTCATCGTGAGCATTTTTCGAAGTTACTCTCTTTTAGTTAAATAATCATAGGATGAGACTTAAGGTTCTGGCATCATCGGTTAAGTGATAAAATTTAATACGAATTACCCGCATACTTATATCACAAGAAGATAAAGTGAACGATTTGAGGAGCAACACTGATAATGCAAGTAAATGATGACCTTCTGGAAGTTAATGTCGGTTATCACCTCATTACTGTCCCAGCCACGTCCATTTCCTTCCTTCTCTAGAATGAAAACTCCATTTATCGTTTACATAAGATTTAAAGAAATATTTGTTGTCAAGATTTCACATTTCCAAATCATCATCCTCCACTTTTCCAATGCCAAAATTGTTAATGTGAATCTCTTCGAAACGTGAACAGAATGATGGGTGAGAGAGATGAAATGTGAGTGCGAATGCCATTATGAAGGATGATGATGACTTGGCATAAAATGCTAGCGAGAGTTGGCCTTAATACTCCAACGATAAGATAATCAGTGGTTCCAGTAAAGACAGACCACTCGCATACACCTCCCAACTGCGGAGACCTCCAGGTTGAATGCAGGGACAACTTGAACCGCGGTCGTTCGAATAGGGAGCAGCAGATGGCATGTGCGCGAAAGGCAGTACTTCTCCTTCCTTCCTCGCCTTCTCTCCCATCCTGGCACACATACACAGTGTATGACAGATGGGCGACAGACAGTTTGCATCGTGCAGTGCACGAGGCACGAGCGCACCTTGTGACAGTTATGATCTACAACACTTCATTCCTGGCTATGTACCGAGATGTCCCATCTGTCTGTCCTTGTTATTCACTTTGCACTATGTGCACTATAGTTTATACCATAATTAATGGATGTGATTAATTTATCCAAATTTCGTTTGTGGGAGCGATGACATCATGCAGTTAAATTGTGTCGCACAGGTCGTCTCAGGATGGCATTATCTCTTCTAACCTTTACAGTGTGTGATCATTCCTCTTTCAGTCAGTAACTGCCTGAGAATTCTTATAGTAAACTTAGTATTTGATTAATATTTGAGAAATAATCATCACCCTCTTTTGGCTGGCTATTATTCTAATTAGATAATAGTCACTGACAACTGGCTTCCTTGACAATCTGAAATATCTCACATATACCATTTGAGTGTTCATTTGTATTTCTCCCACTCGGTGCTTCTATACGAGAGTTTGTTTGCACTTAGCTCGAAACATATTGGAGATTTCTTGGACACTTTTTTAGGCAATGTTTTGATTGTACTGGATAGCATAGTATGTCATTTCGTCTTTAACTGTTCATGAAATGGTACCCGACCGCGATGTATGCTTCACCTCACGACTTAATTAAATTTGTCCTCACGATTTAAAAAAAGAACAATTTTTGACAGGTTATATTTACTACTTCTTTTCATAAATTTCCTGATTTTCAGACAATGGTGAATGATTAGATTCTGAAACAATGTTTGAAATGAAATATGCTGATAATGGAGACGCGCTGATGTTGGCAAACAAGAATCGTGTGGCAAGTAAGAAAATCTTCGAACAACTGCAACAGGTTTGCAAGTTATGAGTTCTAAAAGTTTGCCAAATTTCGGGTTGTGAATGACATGTTTTTTTGTGAAAGTCGAAAGGATTTAGTGATTTTGTTTATTCTTATTTCTAGTAATTCGGTTGCTAATTTGAGTTCTGTTTTGCTTTTCAGGACCTTTTGAATAAGTTTGTTTTTGTTGACGAAAATGAACAAGACCATAACTTTATGATTCGGGAATGATTTATAAACCGAAATTTCCTCTGTAGCTTGATAAAACAAATGTTTTTTTTTTTTCTTTCAAAAGTTCAATAAAGAAAATGTTATCCCCCTAAACATGGCATTATTGTTTCCGTTTCGATAATACTGTTATGAGAAGCCGAAATATCGGAGTGGACTCTATATAAAATCTTCGATTACAATCAGTAGTGTTAAGTGAATAAAGTAAGAATTTGATAATATGACGCTGACTTAATAATTGTTAACTCGATATTTGGAGTTAAGAGTAGAGTTTTGAAGTTTAGTTCCAGATTTAGAAGATTAGATTTTTCCACAAAAGTTTTATTTGTGTAAGTGGGATTCAGTATATTTCCATTTAAAACTTTGGACTAGAAATACGGAGTTAAATGCAAAAATTAATGAACTTAGTTGTGAATATAAAACTCATCTGAGAACATGCACTCCGTGACGCGCTTTTATTTGTACTATGTCTTTGTCCTACTATTTTCATAGGAACAAACATGTTTTAAACTTATCTAGAAGAACATTAATAAATAAAATAATTTTATGACTAGTAATTTTGAACTTTAATTAACAGTACTTGGGAATATATATGACGGTATGTTAATTACAATCATACTTTCACACGACTAATTAAATTTCCCATCATGCTTATTAAACTTTTAGTTTTTTGTCGTAAAAGTTTTAAATTTCAACTACTCTGTTAGTGTGAAGTTTTTGAAATCAAAAGTGAGCTTTCAAATTTGAAATTGATTTCGAAGTTTTGTCAAAGTTTAAACTTTTGATTGTAATTATGTAAGAGTTTTCAATGGTCTTCTTCTTTTGGACTCAACGCTAGCAGTTATATTGGTACCCGTAAACTTCCGCAGTTTACATATGTATTTTTTCAGTCATCACGTACATCAACTCACATTACTGTGGCTGAAGGCCATATGTTACACAGGCAACCCTCTGGCGCACAGAAAAGAATACGACAGCGACAGGAACAAAAGTGTGTTACTTTCCTTTCGTGTGGAATTTAAGAATATAAAGTGCTATAGAGCTTTAATACAAATATCTTTAATGCATTTTTCGCAACAAAAGTTTACAAAGAGAATAAAAAGGCTGGGTAATTTATTAGCGAACATTCATACACTGTAAGAACCAGGTGTTGAGAACTTGTTTCGTCATTTTTCTAATTAAATAAACTGGTGGAATAGAATTTTCATTTGCTGATATTTGCAAGAACTTCATGAGTAGACGAAGTCCAGATGAAGTAATCAGTGAAGTCTCCGAAACAATAAAACTAGGACTGTACTGATAAGTCTCAGAAGGATACTTAATTGATCGTAACTTTTCCAGACGATAGAGCAACTGTAAGCAGTGTTTCGATTTAAAAAGATGCACTTGAATTAAAAAAATAAGCAATTAATAAAAGCCATAAAAAACTGCAGTTGGTGAAATTTTGTCTTCAAATTTATTACTGATCCATAATAAGAAATGTAACAGTTGAAAAAAAAAAAAAGAAAACAGTGATATGGTAATATAATAAGGCTAAATATGCCGCTAGATTATGTTCTGATTGAAAATTTTGGGAAAAGTCGTTTTTGGTTTTTTGTTTTTGAGACTAAACTTTACATGATTAATTTCAGATTAGTTCAAGACTTCTTTTCAGTTTTAAAATAAGATCCAAATTAAACGTTTGTTTACTCATCCCTGTTTTTCGAAGTGTGCTCTATTAGCATATTTTCTTGTCCTGGTAATGTAGTTTTTATCGTATACAAATATGCTACAGATGGTTAAAAGCTATTTCGGCAAATGTTAACTCGTACGATCTGGAACATGGCCGTGCGCAGTCAGGATCAGAAAAAGGTACTTATAGATCCTTGATTGATTCTGGCGGTTACAAATCAATTTTGCCAGAAGAACTGTCTTTTCCCGTCTCTTCTCCTATCGCATCTTTGTCTAGGTTTGTTCATTTTCATGGATTCAAATTTTCATTCATTTTGTGCTATATTTATTTGAAAGTTTCATTACTTAGTACTAAATAAAGACTTTTGTAGGAATACCTTTTTGCGTTCATCATCAACAACTCCTATAGGTAAGACTAGTTCCACTTCATCGACGTTTACGCCTGTTGCATTTCAAAACAACACCGGCATTGCTTCGTCAACAGTTACGAGTAATTATTTTTTCTTTTCACTGATTTTTGCTTCTCTGTCTCGAAAATAAAACACAATGATTTGTTGCTAAATGAGCAAGCTACTATGATGGCTGAGTAGTTATTTATTTAAAAAATCTGAGGAACCCAGTCGTTTTGGGCATGTGAACTAGCGAATTCTGTCTACGAAAATGCGCTGGCTTATTTGATTTCGTTATCTTATTTTATCAAAAAAATCTGAGTAGGACTTTTTGTTTTTAAAGTTGACATATGGAAATCATAAGATAACTATTTTAAAATATGCCAAAAAAAAAAACTGCTTTTCAATAGATCAACTTTACTTTTTACATAATTTGTCAGAATGAGCAGTATTGAGCAGAGATTTTCTCAGAGTAGTATTTTTCCTCGTAACTTTGTTTCATTTTTATCTGTTATTTTAGTTCGAATTTGGAAAACTGAATTCGTACATTTTATTGTAAATACTTTGTTACATTCGTTTTTCATGTCATAATGACAAATTATTTGATGTTTAAACATCTTAATTTCGTTTTATTACAAACCATATGGATACTTCTTTATTCTTTCTGATACTTCTTTTAATAAACAATGTTAGAAGCTCTTTATTAGTTGAATACGCTACTATTTAATTCTAGTCAGATTGGTGGTTTAAAATTGAAACATGATGACAAATTTTTTTCTTTTTCTAATGATTATTTTTTTTAATACTGATTGTGGTGTTTCATTTATCATTCCAAATTCCCAAAAATCTTATTTATTAATGGAACTTGTTTTTTACTATTTAGGTCATTGTTTATTTTGCTATGGTTGATCAAAACATTAATAGGGAAAGTCATTTTATTTTATTTATCATGCTGTTCATTTTTAGTGCAAAAATTTATTAATATTGCAATTTCATGCCTTTACAGGTGGTAAACCAACCGTACAGGTATATCCGATGCCATCAAACTTACCAGCCAATAATATAGTTAGTACTGTGGTGACATCAACAAGTAGTACTAATACTGATATTACATCAGAAAAAATGCGCGAAAAACCGGTGGTACCAAAGAAACCAGCAAGGTTAATCCTGTCTTCGGCATCTACTCCCGTCGAAACTGCTCCAGTAACTCCACTTTTGAGTATATCGAGTTTTAACCTCTTTTCAGTTTCAGCGCAGTCATCACCGTCAGGTAGCAATAGGTTTGCACATTTCTTGAATCTCTTTTAAGTTTGTACTGTAAATTGCACTGTAAAATAATCTTTTATGGCGTGTTGAGTAGGAAGAAAGAAGTGCTCTGTGGTTCTATGAGGGGAGTGATCAGTTTTAAGCTTATTGTTCGAGTTTTCCAAACTCTTTTAAAGTGAAGGATTTTTAGAAAATCTTTTTTCGAAGTTGACAATTTTGATTAACTGTGTTACCATTTTTTTAGCATAGGAAACGTACATGCAATTACTGTGGTCTTGCTAATTTAAATCCTTATTCTGTTCTACTTTAGTTTTCGTCTATTTTCCACTCCATCCTTTATTTCTCTTCATACTGCCCTGATGCAGTCCAGTTTAACAGACGAAGAAGTTGAACAGCTCGAAACAAAACGTAAGAAGGTAAATTAAAAAATCGAGTTTTGAGAAAAATGAATGTCGAAATTTTTCTGAACATTCATGTGGTTTTTTATTACTATTTGTAAATATAGCGATTATTCACTGCTTCGTGTCTTTTTCACTTCTCGGATCTTTATATTTGCACCATAATTGTT